AGTATGAATCAAAAAAATTTTTTTCCTTCAATTACATACTGAGAACAGAAATCCCAGGAAGCATATATGAGTTTGTGATAAAAGCCATTCAGTGGCATAAGTGAAATAAATTAGGACTGGTTTAAGTCCACTGTTACAACCCACTACATTATCCTCTTTCCTTGATAAGCTCATTTAAAATATTTTAATTAAACTTTAGCATTCAATTAAGCAAATCATGTAAAACCAGATTAAAATTTGGCACAGACACACTGGTATTATACCACACATTTATTAAGATACCAAATATAATTCTTAATAAAGATGTGGTTTTCAAATTTAAAATGAGGAATACCAGTAATATTCTTAATGCAGGGAGAAAGTAGTCTTAAAACCAGTTATCTAGTCTTGCATATATTTAGTAGATTTTGTTCAATCAGACAAGTAAAACACCCTATGGTAGCTTGCTAAATCCTTCAAAACAGAAGCCTCCAGCTCACCTTTACCATACATGACAGTTCCCTACTTAACAGCACCAAGAAATCCAGGTATCTTTGCATAAGCAGGCTCCAAATGAAAAATGATGCAATGACATAATTTGGCATAATTTGTAATGATTAAAAGTGTGCAAAAGTCCTTCTTTGTCTGATCAAGCCCATATGGTGCTGATTAAACATCGTGGCTTCTTACTTATCAATCATTTGCATTAAACAGTGAAAAAATTTCCTTCTGCTTCATTTAGGATGTGAGAAATGTATCTGATACATACACAGCAACATCTGCAGCATACCCAGGCACAAAGTACTGCTTGACTGCATTAAGAACGCATAAAGACCATGAGTGATGAAAGCAAACCTCCATAAAGAAGGACTGGTAATCTGACTTTGTGAAATATACACCAACTCCAAGTGCTATGGCAAGCCAAATTCACAAGTCTGATTCTGATACAAATCAAAAGTCCCAGAACATTTTGTTCACAGAACAAAAAACTCCTGATATTTGACTGCATATTCCACTAGAGAACGTGGCAGTCAACCAGACTTCCCAGGACAGTAACTAGAAAGATGTTTGGAATAATTTCATATACAGACTAGCTTATTCACGCAAAGCCATTTGTTATAACGTGTACCTGAAAATGCTAAACAAATTAGAAACTAAGAAGCTATTTTATATAGTTATATTTAAAACTTGCATCAATCATAACTCCCTCTTGCAACCTATTAGAAGTGTTAATCAACAAAACCTCCAGACTGAAGATTAACTAATGGCATTTTCCATACGTGCTATGTCACAGTTTTCTGACAGGTAATTAAATTGCAAATATACTATAAGAATAAAATTAGTCTTTTACCTCCTCAACATGCTCCAACTTCTCAATACTACAAAAATTCAAGTTTGGGAGTTTTGACCCAAAGAAAGCTAGTGTTGTCTAGATATTCAACTAACATACAGAATATTTCTGTGTTTTTCTGCATTAACTGGTTTTATTCTTGCTGCTCAGATAGTGTTTCATAGTATAAATGCTTTACGTTATTAAAAGCACAGTATAGTTACAGTAATGGAACTGAGGGAGTTACTGACTAAAATTAAAAGTTGCCAAAAAAACCCCCTCAAATTATCCTACACTTCAAGCTAATACCCATAGACTTGAGAGCCACAAAAAAAAAAGAGTTGTGCTTCCAGGTTTTACTGCTTGTATAAAGAAATAACTATTTATAAACAGGATAATATAGAATACATTGTCTGAAATAATAAAATCTCAAATCCTCAAAATTGAGGGAGAAGCAAAAGAGACCAGTTCTGACTAGATTGATGGAGAAAAGGGATTAGATAGATTTTTCTAAGGATCTTTCCTCCATTAGCATTTGGCAGGAATGGTCAGGAAGCTATTTGTGCTGGTACAACTGACAGCAAAGTCAGTAGATATAAACCATACTCAGTATGACCTAAAACTCCGATCCTTCTGACATTTAGAACTAATGATGATTTGTACAAAATCACAACCAAGGATTACTTGCTTAATGACAGCCCTAAGGAGGATAGTATCTTGTGTTCTCATATGACTGGGAGTTAAATTTATATCCCTTTTCACAGGTGTATTAATATAGGGATTATACTAACTACCAACACAAAGTTAAACACTGCTGTCTTAAACTGGCACACTTCACATTCAGAAATTTGGCACCACAACTCTCAGTATGAATACCTAGGTAGTGTTTTTTAGCTCATGTAAAAATGTTTCATTGCAGGTTACTAACCTGAACCCAGACTACTCTCCAGTCACATTTCTCCATTTAATTTTATTAACTCAGCTTGATGGTCAATAGCCCCAGGTTTAATTTTTCTCTACTCATTGGAGAAAGAGACACAGACACACTTTCCAAAGGTGATGCAGACCAGGAATCTTGCTCCCACTCAACCATCCTATCCCATCTTTTGATACATGTTAACATCGTGTTCTTTGGATGCAAAACTAAAATTTAAACTTCAAACTACTAATCAAGATTGAACTCCAAATTTCTAATTCTTTGACCTTTAAGAAGTAATTGAGAGAAAGAATCAATTTAACTTAATTTTAGATGTCAAAAAAAAAAAAAAGCTACCAATCTAAACCAGCCATCTAGGGTTCCTTCATCAGTTCATGCTAGAAAAGGACCTGTCTTTGACATTCATCTGAAGATAAGGTGAATAATAAGATAATTGGTGATTTCTTCTTTTTAATGATGGCTTGGGTAAGTTAGACAAATAATTTAACAAAAACCTATTTTTATGTGAATCCCACTGTAGATACATAGCCTTTAAGGCTGAAGTTAAACAGCATGAATGTCAACATGCAAAAAATAGCTCCCAATACAATCAACCCCCTCCCCAAATTAACTCTTTGTTCCCTTGTAATAAGCAAGTAGCAGAAAGAATTGACTAAGGACTACGTGCCAGAGGCTACCAGTACAGACATGGTACAGATAGAAGCTGACTTTGGCTCAAATCATGAGCAAAATGCCCTCTTTTTCTTCAACATCCAACTTCCTTCCATTCTGATCTCTCTTGATATCTTATTCCCATGATACAACATTTTTTCAGGTCTCTAAAGACTTTGACCTTTTTATAATTATGATAGGAAAACATCAGAAAATAAATGTGGACAACTCAAATGGAAAATTTTGAACATTGGATGTTAATCAGATGGATACACTATTTTCCAAAATAACATCAAAATTATTTTACATTTCACTCCACTGCACTTAATGATTGAAATAGGCTAATTGCAAAGATAGTACATTAGGCATGTCCCACTCATTTTAATAGGTCTTTCAGGGGAGCAGAACCACAGACAGCTTAGAAGAAAGTTATTGCCAGTTATGTGTAATTTATGAATCTGTCAATTTTCTCCTCATATTTCTACTGAAGGAACTGCACTGTATATTATTACTATACATTTTATTCACTATAGAAGTAGTACCTGAATTTAAAGAAGAATAAAGCAAGCAAGTAGAAAGCCCCTAGTTTCTGAGGTACAGATTCTGTGGACAGTATCATAAAGTGAAGGTATCTGAATTCTGATTACAGCTCACTTTACTGGTCTAGAGTGAAGCTGAACTGGAGCTTGAGTTTGTACACTAGGTCACCTAATCCTGTACCCAAGGTGCTCTGCCACTCATAAGAATGGAAGAGTTTAAGGATTTGACCCTAGGTTTCACCCCTTCCAGACTCACATGAGATTACTGGTTCTCCTGATTCTGATATTCTGGCATCCTGAACTCAAGGAAAATTTCTGGTAAAATCTGTTAGGCATATTTATGGGAAAAAAATCTGATTTTGTTGAAACTGCCAAAGATACTGTGAGAGGGTCTAGTTGAGAAAATTCAGTATCAAGAAAATACAAGTATTTTGGTATGAATAAAGCCTTTTTAAAGAGAAAAATACTGAAAAGCTAGGGTAGAATGAAATCAGCATTTAAGGACATGAATTGAAATTACTTTAAATACATTTACAATTCCACTGCAGTGTTCTGCTGGATTATGAATTACTGTAGCTGAGTTATGGATTACTTCACCAATCTGAAACATGACTTAGAACATTCCTTAAAAAGAAAATGAAATGTACCAGTTTCTGAGACAGGCCAGTTTCTGAGTTTCCCTAAGACCCCTTCCCATTCCATAAGCAGATCAAAAAGTTTGCAGCTGAGCTTCTCAGATAGTGAGTCTATCTAGAAGTGTTCTGAGGTGCTAAATGATGCCTTTCAGACTCTTATCAGACCGATTTCCTCATAGGGATAATTTCTTTTAGTTCCTAATCCTTCTTGCGTCTTATAACACTTCAAGTCAAATTTTTGAGAGTTCAGAAATTGGAGATGTAATCAATGACTACCAAGCCAATCTTACAGCCACTATAGCTGCTGGGAGTTTTGTCATCAAGTCAAATGAAACAAAAAGTAACCTGTGCATCTAAAAAACTACTAAACCCAGAATATATTAGTATTAAGGATGAAAGATATACTTGATTATTGATAATGCAAATGAATTAATCTACTTTTGAACAAGAGATATCAAAATTACTATACAAATAATTGTTTCAAATGTTTTAGTTTATCATATACATGAAAATAGCAAAATAAAAACAGGTAGGTAGGGAAGAATAAATAGATTGAGAGAAAGAGAAACAAAGCTTTTATGGGAAAAAATTGTTTAAATAAAAAAATCTAGTAATATTTCTCCTGTAGTGGCTTACTGACAATTGATTACACTGATTCTTGGGCAAAATGAGATGATAGCCTGTGGTCAAGTTCAGCTTGCCATAAATACTTGCATTAATCTATTATCTCCTGATGGGAAGTTTGCTTTCTATTTTAGATGCACAAATATTGTCATTTTATGCCAGTAATTGAAGACAGTTTATATGTGCATAACATTTCTCATAAATTCTTACACTATGGTTATCTGGTTATCAAGGATTTATGGTTGTATTTTGGCACTAAATGAAAGAGGGAGTGTGATACAATTGAAGCTGCATGGAGAACTCACCTGATCCTGCCCCGAGGGCGCTCAGATTGCTCTGACATAAAACTTGTGCTGCTGAGGCGTGAGGCACTGCTGGTTCTGGAAATGGCTGACACATCACTGACATCACTATCTGATGATTTGGCAGAGACGTTATCACAACTTCTGTACTGATCTGTTTGTATATTATACTAGAGATCAAGAAAAGAAAGGGTGAGGAGTCTCATCAAAACATAACACATTTATTGAGACAACAAATGACCTACGTATGACAATTCTAACTGTTTTTAGATCTAAGAAAATTATATGAAATTCAAAAAAAAAGCCTGCATTAAATAATGACTTCATGTCTAGTGTAGAAATCAAACATTATTTATGGACTAAAGAAGATACTTAGAATAAAATATAGCATAAGAAATTAAATAGGCTGCTGGTTCTTCAACACACTGGAACTACAATAATGAAACATTTATGCAGTGGACAGACATCTCAAGCACATGCATGCCATCTATTTGACTACTGACTCTTTTTAAAATTTTTAAAATATTAAAAATATATGCTATGAAATACCTCTACAGAGTTAGTTTGGAACAGAACTGCATATAAGCCTGAGTGAAACGTAATGCTACATGAAGCTGACATTGGGAATGATTTCAGTTCCTAAGTTCTATCAAAAATTTTAAAATACATTTTCTATCTCAAAATATCTCTTTGCATTGTGATACTAGAGGACTAGTTAGGCAGAAAGGTAACTCAGCAAATATAGTATTTGTTTGTTTTCAGGCAGATCAGTTCCCTGATCTAGTTGTTTCTACATCCACACACATGTTAGAATTAGCAGAAGACCCAGCAGGAGGAATATGTGAACAGGGGTAGAAGTTATTTTACTTTTGCTAACAGCTGACGCTTTGATTAGTTAAAATCAACTGTGACACCACACCGCCTATTAGATAATGCTCTTATTGCTGATATCATCAGTTAGATAGATACAAAAGGAGGCTTCAATCCTAGCAATGCCACACTTTCCTAAATCTTTACTCACATAGATATGAGGATCAAATAACTGTCAGGTTCACAGAGCTAAAACCCACTGTCATTAGAGAGCAAGGTACTCTTGGCTGAGAAGCAACTAAATCAATGGCATACTTCCCAGGGTATGTTATGGGAAAACTATTAACATGCAGGAGAACTAGGCAGTTTTTGACATGACACTCTAGAAAGTGATCTGTGCTCTGTAAAATTGCAAGGCATAAAAGTTTATTTATGAATCATACACAAATCATACACAGATATTCACAGTCTGTGAATATCTGAACTCCAACTAGGCACTGGGTTGCAGGCTGAGTCACTCAGCAAATGCCATGACTTGAGTTTAAAAATCTCGCAAACATAAGCTTGAGTCTGTACAGATGAATGTATCAGGTCTCCTGTCCTCAAGCCAGGTTTATCTTCTCCTGCTCCAGTGCCTTTCAGCAACTACGCTTGAGGTCTCCACAGCACACTTGGAAACCGCTTGGTAAAATACTGAAGATAAAATGAGGAAGTTAATAGGAGTAGAGTACAGGAAGGAATAAAGATGATTTTAAACACCAACTGTAAATATAGAAATCTGCAGAAGAAACAGAGATCATACAAATTAACTGTCTTGGTGTGTTTTTCAGGTGTGCATTAGCACACTCCTTAGCAAAAACTTTTAGCAATACCCTATGAGGGCCTTGCACTGGTTGATTGAATAAAAACATCTGCAGGAGAGAAAGCTCTGGTTTACTAAAGATAAATTTTCAGCTTCAAATACTAAATGAAGCTCTGAAGATGATTTCAGAATAGCTTGGAGCATGACAACTTTGGGCTCAAGTAATTTGTCTAACAGGCATTGACATGGAAACAGATGCAGCAGAACTCTGATTTAATGAAGTGGGTAACACAGAGGACTCAAGAACTGCTATATTCAAAAATATTTTCAACTACAGCAAGAATTTATCAGGAGGTTCTCTTTCCAAGTGACTTGGAGTGACTTATTTGAATATTAATGACCAATGGGACTAAGGTGAGACTATGCTGATATGTTTATTCAGATCAGCTTTTGGAAATAGCTTGTGGAGTCTGTTAAACAACTTCGCTGCTTGTTGTCTTTCAGCTTGCGAAATAACCTCTCCAAAATGGAAACACAAAGCATACTAATTCTTACCAGGTCTATCTCATAATAAGTTGTCATCTTTTTCTTCTACAGTTCAAGAGAAAATTCAAAGCAAGAATAAAAGATATGAAAACTTTTTACTTAAGCTATACATACACCTTCAGAGGATGGAAATCTGAATGGTTAATTGTTTCCAGTTTAACTGCCCCACTCCTGAGACAGCTTTGATGTTTTATGCAGAATTCCTAAAAAATTCCTAAAGAATTCTTCAAGCTACTCTAAAATGAGACATCTAAAATATGAAAAAACATCGGAACAAATGGAATGATCTGGCATTCTATTGAGCTAAACAGAATTACAATCTGCAAAAGAAATCATCATCCTGTTTAACCTGGAGAAGAGGAGGCTCAGGGGAGACCTCATCACTCTCTACAACTACCTGAGAGGAGGTTGTTGTCAGGTCGGGATTGGTCTCTCCTCCCAGGCAGCTTTCAGTAAGGCAAGAGGGTATGATCTTAAACTCTGCCAGGGGAGGTTTAGGTTAGATGTTAGGAAGAAATTCTTTACAGAGAGGGTAATCAGGCATTGGAATGGGCTGCCCCAGGGAGGTGGTGGATTCTCCGTCCCTGGAGGTTTTTAAGATGAGACTGGATGTAGCACTTAGTGCCATGATCTAATAACTACAGTGGTAGTGGATCAAGAGCTGGACTTAATGATTTTGGAGGTCCTTTCCAACACAGCTGATTCTATGATTCTACGATACCACTAAATTATAAAATGTATGTTGGCTACAGTGACATAGGTATTTCACCCATCCTCTATATTTAAATTATATCTAGAAATTGTCCCTCTGCAGGTGAGGTTTTAAAAACACCCTTTTAAAAAGAAGTATAACCGAGCAATCTCTCTTGAACGCCTGGGGTTTCTTTATGCATGGTAAGAGACTGTTTTAGAAATACCTCCACGTTTTATTTGTATTTGTTGAAGACAAAGTGACTTCTCCCCTCTACCGTTATAATGCTCTGTTGCTTTTCTTCCTCACCAAAAAGTCCATATTCTGTTTGTGCCTCTGAGTTTGAGAGTGCATACAGTGAATCTGCAATGGTAGAAGACTCATGTGGTCCCTGAGCAACCATGACATGCCACTGGAGAAGGCTGACTCTCCCATCAAGGGAACCATCAAGGCCAGATGCAGCGACTTCCTCTGTCCTGCCAGAAGACTTTCTTCTTTCTAAGTACTGAGGGAAGTGTAGGCTGCTGGCCTTCATCCCAAGCCACACCTGAATCTGGCTGTTTGTTTAGCACTCAGCTCATGATTCAACAGCAAAATAACAAAGTTGAACTCAGTGGATTATGTCTGTCAGGAAGAAGACCCTCTGTTTCCCTTGTACTGAATTTGTTCCACCTTTCCTGGGCTGGGAAAGATGGGGAGGAGGAACAGAGAGAAAGCATCAAGCATGGTCATGCAGCTTAGTGGTTAGGATACTAAGGAAAATTAGAGGTCCCAGTTTGTGTGTTAGTTGCAATTAGTTAGTTAGTAGCAATTCAGCCTCACTGAATGACTGTTCAGTATCGATATGAAACTATTTACTGTGAGTGCTATATAGATATCATCACCCTGTCTTGCTCCCTATAGTCTAGCAGTCTGTAAAACATGGATGCCAGACTGGCTTAAAAGACAGTTTTTCCTGTGTTGGTAAAGAGAGAATTTTATGGTGAGATAGGAGAAAAAGAAAAAAACTGAATCCATGTTTTCTACTTGCCTTTGTATTGCAATCACACAGCTAGTGCAGAAAACATGGAACATCCCTTCCTAAATGAGATTTTTGTGGCACGACTGAGCTTTTCCTACCCCTTTCTACTGTATGTGAGGGCTGTAATTCCCTCAGAAACTGAAAAACTGTGCCTTCACAGAAATAGAGATTAGGACAAAAAGTGGTGATGATGAAAGTTAGTGTTGAGTGCTAGAGTGTTTACATTTTATTACTACTTCTTTAGGATTTACCTCTTTCTTCCTATAGTTGCTCCTTCTAATTAATTCACCAACCTCAGTAGGGGACATTCAACTTTTACTACTGATTTCCTACCCACCACTCATACAATCTGATAATCAGTCATCTTAGCTAACAGACAAATGAAATGAAAGCAATTTTGAAGATAACATTTTCACCTTAAAATATAAAGAGAAGTAAATAGTACTCTTCCACAAAGCAGTGCTCTCTAAAATGAGAATATTTTACTGTTGCAATACACCTGAACTTATCATTCAGAAAAAAAATATCATGGGCTAAGATCCTCTTATTTGGTATCTGCAATGAAGTAATGCCTTCAGGTTTCTATCTGGGCTCAAAAGTAATATGATACAGTTCTACTGCAAGGCAGAAAACTGCTGCTCTTTATAGCTTTGTATTTGCAATAAATTTCCCTGAAATGTTATGTTTAAATATTATATAATTTTTAAGCTTCAACATAAAATATATGTTCCATGTAATCACTTCTCTTTCAACTCTTGATATTAAAGCTTATGAAATATTTCTGTTCCAAAGGTGCACTATTTATCACATTAGGAGAGTTGCTGAAGTTTGCAGCAACTTTGGTAGCAATTACTAAAGATTAGGTCTGGGTTTTTAAACATTTAAACGTTTATATTTTATACATTTTATATTTTTAAAAGTTAATAGCAGCTAGTTTCAAATGCCCAAACTATCTGCACTCTCTGTGTCTGCATTACAGAGAAAGAAACCTATAAACAGGTGAAATTCAGTTTTTCCAGTCACTTTACCACTGTGGAGCTGTTGCTTCTTCTACAGCAGCAAGAAGGAGAAAAAGAGATACGATGAACTGCAGATGTGTTAGCATCAATGGGAAGAGCATAGACATAAACCAAAAGAGGGTACTTCACAAATACTTTTACAGCTCCTTAACAAGTAACAATGTTAGCAATTTTACTGATTATAAGGCACATTTTAGAAGTAATTTAATAGTTCATTATAATTAAATTATCTTCCATATTAATAAGTATTTATATTTCTAGATTTACCTCCCAAAACCATAAAGAATGCAAGAGTTCAGAGCTTTGAAAATTGGAGTGTGCCCCACTTTGACTACAAAAAAGCCCCAGATGACTAACCTCTACAAAGGTATACCTCATTATGTGTTTAAAATGAGGGAATTCAAAATGAGAAAATTAAATGGGCATTAAAATGAGGACATTAACATGGGGAAAGAGAAAACCAGACCAGATACATTAAGGCCTAGATTCAGCCAGAGGTTGATGCAACTCTTGAGATCACAGCTATCTTTTGAGGCACCTTACTCTAACAAGGAGCTTTGTCAGAAAACACTGACTCATGCACAAATCATCTTGAGTTTTATTACTCAAGGGTTCCTTTATTACTCAGAGGAACCCTCACATAGGGTTCCTCTGAATGCTGCCAGGGATCACAGCTCAGCAGTCAGCACCTTGGTATGTTCAGGACTCATCACTAACTCCAACAGCATCTGTCTTAGGAGCAGCTCATGTAATTCTCAAGAGCCCCCTAAGCACCAGTGATTCTAAATAACTGTTCTCATAAACATATCCAACTAAACCACTACGAACACCACTCAACTTCCTAACAGGGAACAGTAAAATTGAGCAAGTCAAACTATGAGGAAATTCCAGTGAAGCCCATGAGTTGAATGAATGGACCTCACTGCATTTTGTGAAATCCAACCAGTACAGGAATGACTGCTGTATCAATATGATATATAGCAAATATTTTTTTCTTGAAGGTAGGTGAAGGGGGATCAAAAGAAGATACTCACCACATCAGTGTCCAAGAGCATTTTCTATATATAGCCCCAAATGCCTTGCCCAGCATCCCATAAAACTTAACAGTCAGCCTCCTACCATTCCAAGTCTCCTACCCAGCTCTTCCTTGCAGATATTAAGTCCACAGAGGGCCACTGAACTAATGCCATAATTACAGTTTTATGCTAAATGCTTTCCAATCACATACAGTCTTAAACTGAGTCAGTAGTGCACCTAAATATAGAGTGAAGTCCTTTTTAAGTATGTACTACAGTGCTCTGATCAGTAACTCTATTGAATAAACATACCTTGCAAAAAAATGGAAAGTAGGAGCAGCTGCAGCATGATATTTATGTTATGTGTGTGGCATCTAGCATAATAAAACTTACTGTATTTTCAATTAAAAATTAAAAGTCATAATACATTACTGTATTATGAATTAAAATAAATTTTATTTATTAAAATAAAAAGATATACTGGAATTTACCTCTATGCAAATCCAGAATAATGCTACCAAAGTGTTTTCATTCTCTCAAACAGTGGAACAGCACAAATATATGCATACTAGCCTCTACAGCTTTACCAATATACAAGACAAACATGCTTAAAGGTCTTCTTAAAGCTCATCTTTAAACCCCTTTGACAAAGCCTCAGAGTCTTCAGGGGTTTTTTAATTCCTTTTTTCATTTAGCTTTTTAGAATTTAACTGTTTCACATAAATTATGGAGCCTTTCCACTGGAATGGAAGGAAATAAGGATGTGAGCTCTGTGAAAGTCTCAAAACAGTTAGAGTGGAACAGCCATGAAGACATATACAAATGTTGCAGAGCAGACATTCATCTATTCAAAATCCATTAATAAATGTTCAAAACAATAACTTCCATGGTGCATTCTTGGAAAACTATTGCTTTCTTACTGAGACTAGAAGACTGAGAAACTGAGTGGGAAAAATCACAAAAATGGAAAAAATGCACCAGAAATGGACTAGAAATTGCAACGACCAGGTTACAATACCTCTAGAGAAAAACCAGTTTGTTTCAATACAACAGAAAACTTAGTTAAATTTAAGGAATTATTTTGTATATACATAATTAAGTATTGAAAATGTGATCCAGTCCATACTGAGGGAAAATTTTTGAGAGGTTTCAAGAATTTTATATGTCAAATAAAATAAACATATTTGCAAATGCTAAAATAGTGGAAGAATCAAATCCATGTGAGCTGATTGCTCTGAAACAGAGAAGGGAATATTTTAACAATATGCAGCTCAGCATAATTTCTCTAATGAATATATTTCTTTTCTGAAGTAATGGGCAAACACTGATACTTGGGAAAGAAAGAAGTATTTCTGTTAAACAGTGACAAACTCTTTGCAATGGCCATTTCTTTAATAGTTAATATTTATTTTTCCCTATACCACTTAACTTTTTTTTTAAATTTATTTAAAGTAAGTCTTCTTCTGCAGCTTTCAAAAACTTTTCACAGATTTTGGCAGCAGAAACAAGATATAGCCTTCAGTTCTTAGAAGTCTCAGTCATCAGTATTACTGCACCACCGTATTACCTTTTCATTAGAGCTGTCTACTTTTCATCTGTCTGGGTTATTTTCTTGACTCTCTCAGCATTTTTTCAGGGTCAAGACAGGAGCATAAGGTTTGCTTTGGTAACATTTTTAAAGGAATGACTATCTCCATAGTGTGTGAAGCAACAAGATACATCACTGAATATCATACAGACTGTTAGAATGGGCTAATATAATTTCTTCTCAGCACTTGAAATTCATTCTAGCTTGGACCCTCCTTTCTAGGACTGAAGCATTATCATGTAGAAAATACATGAAAAGATAAAGATTTAAAGTCTAGGGCAACTGGTTTATTCTCCTTACTATTGTTTTAGCATTAAAAAGAGTAGATGTCTGTCAGAACACCGGGTACCAAAAATATTTTTCTTATAACAACTGACAGAGAATTTGCTTCATCAAAGTTGTCCTCATACTCTGGGAAAAAAATCTGAATAAAAGAATTTTCAGTGTTCTTTTCATTTAGCACTAATCATACTTTCAATTTTGATTTAGCTTCCACATATACTTAAAAACAAAAGAAGATACTAGAAAACTCAAGGTTCTAAAGGATAAGAGAAAACTGTAACATTGAAGGTTGATGTTTTATAACAATTATTTAACCATACATTGGATCTATATTAACCAAATAAGAAAAACATACTGGGAAACAAAAATTATGCTTATGATAAATAATATAGAGTTGGGATTAAAAAATGTGTTTCATAATGTAAAATACACAAATTTTAATCAATGTGTAAACCCAGGTAATCCAAATGAGAAAACTGGCCTTTGACTCTAAACAAACATCTCTGGTGAAATCCTGGTAAAAGTCCTCAAATTACATATTACCTTTCTCTCCTGCAAACTTTATCAACCCCAGTTTTACTGTTTTTTCTGACATGTTTATTGGTTGGGAAGTACTGCAGAGACACTGCATCTCACCCTTTTGCCCTGAGTGAACCTCTTCTGAAGTTAATGCCAAACCATCAAATGAGCTGTTCTAATTGTACAAATTCTTGCTTCTGACAAAGGATCTCACTGGAAGTTTCCATCCCAAAATATTGAGGTATTTTAATAGCACTCATATCCCACAGTTTGACAGTTGAGGACCTAAAACCTTGTTTCTCTTGTTTCTCTTCCTTTTAAAGAAGTTCTGTGTTCACAATGAGGTGGTGTCAAAACAGAAACACCTGTACTAACGTTGTCTGCATATTTAACTGGAACAGGTTTTTGAACCAATCTTCGAAATTTGCTACATGTTACAAGTCAGATGCCCAATTTTTTATTTAGTAATTCCAAAATAAAATTTCTGATTTTGTTTCAGCTGAATACCTCACTTATCCATTATTTTAACCTGTGCCTCCAGCAGCATCCAGCTCCTCACAGTTTGATTCCTAAGTGGCAATGCAGATGTGCAAAACATTTTCAGCAATTTGCTTAGAAGTCTATACAGTTTAAATTTACAAGGTTATAGAATAATCATTTTAGCATTATCAAGAAAAAAAATCCTCTATATAACTTCATTAACATAATTTCAAGTATACTTCATTATCACAGAAAATCTTTACACTTTTAATTAGAAAAGGAGATCAAAGTAATCAGTATGTGTTTCAAGAAAGAAATACTTTATCTGTCACATTATTAGAATGCAAAAAATTATACAAATATGAGAACAGCTGCATGGGACTGGATCTAATTCTGCCTAGCTCTCTACACATCAGACATCAGCAAGGGCCTAGAGTAGGGTCAACATACCATGATACTTTCATGGCCTAGTTTTTCATCCTCAAGGGATTTGCAGGCCAGGGTCTTCCTATACTAGAGGTGATACAGCTTTGTTTAACAGTTGTTGAAGGATCTTTCTTCCCTGAATTAAGCTGGAAGTGTTTTGTTATCTACAGATTCATCTTAGGTGACATCAAGAACTAAGTTTAATGCACATCAGATGGGGGCAAAAATGATGTTAAAGAACTATTACTTGAAGACATTTCTGCCAGGCTCTAAAACACAGTGTTCTTGAAGGTTATATAATATTTTAAATAAACAGGTTTATGCCTTCAATTTTCAGGCCAAAGTATCATTCCAATACTACTGACTTTACCTTGGTATATTGCTCACGCTCATGTTCTTGGCTAGAACCAGACCCTGATGTCTGATTATAACGGTGCACTTTCATTTTCATCTGTCTCGTTCGCTCCTCCACTACTAAGCTTGCTGCAAAAACACACAATGAAGATCAATTAAAAATAGTGAAAAATTTTTGTAAAAAACAAATGGTTTAGCATCAATTTTAGCTTATTTCCACCTCCACGAAACAAAGAAATGTACAAACATGTAGAACAAGCAGGGTGTAAACACAGAACAAGGGAACACTAATGTCAAGAAATCAACCATTTCCACTGCGAGAGTCTTTACCTGAAAATGGGCAGACATCCCAATTCCTACACATAATCAAGCTGGTGCAACAGATATGAAAAGAGTGAAAGAATTTAGCTGATACACTGAATTATAAACCTGCTAAATATTCTGGATGCAGGGGAAATAAATGCATGATCATCTAACAATGTATTTGCTTAAATGTATAAAATATTACAGTGGCATTCTAAGAACTAATCCATTAAACAGGTATTAAAATTTATTTTTAAAGTAATTAACTCCTACTACCATCTTGAGACATAACTGCTTGCCACAGCTGCAGACAGCTGAGAGTAATAATTTCTCCATTCTACCAGTCATACCAAAAATAAGGTATTTTTGTAGCTTTGGATTTTTTTTTAAAACAAATATCACTTTAAAATCAGTACTTTGCTCTCAAGGGTTCACTTTTACTTCAAATATTTTTTATTTTTTTCTGCTGTTTTAATTTTTCCTATGGCAGTGTTCTATTAAAAACAGAAATCTTCAGCCTTCAAGAAACTGGGGGGCTATAAAGAGCATCCTCTTCAATTTGAACAGGTTAATTAATTAATTAATTAATAGGCAATTAATATTGGCTGTACCTGCCGCAGGTAGATGACCTTGCACTAACAGAGAGAGTAGTGTAAAAGCCTCTGGGCTAAGGATTCCTTAAATTAAGTTAACCTTTGTGGTAGTGAATAAATTTCAGAGTGAACTATGTATTCTGAAATTTGGAGCCCTGTAAATGCAAAGCAATACCAGTGACTACAATACCATGAGAACTGGCACTTTTTAACAGGTCTAGAACTAAACCCAAATATTTACCAGTAACTATTCTAAATCACAGGATTACTCACTATGTTCATTGTGGTTTAACAGGTTATAACATCCCAGAACAACTTCTTTTAAGCTGGCATTTGTGGTCACAAATTAAGGACTGGAATTTTATATGGGAAAACCTCCATAAAATCTTCAGCTTTTGGGTCAACCACGGATTTATATTACTATCTCCAAAACAACTACTTTTAAAAGTCAAACAGCCGCTCCCCAGACCAATGATGGGAGAGAGATAGCAATTTAAAAGCTGCATGGAATCAACTTGCAATCACAAAACACAGAGAATTTTAAAATACTGGAAAATAAGTACTGTTTCATGTTTGTTAAAGATCTGTATTTTGAATTAAGAGGTACTGAAGTTCCATATGTGGCTTTTATACTGTTAATTAACTGTGGCATTCTTTACACACCTATTTTTTTGTTTGTGCTTTGCAAGCACAAAAATACAAGGGTAAAAAAAACCAGTCAACTCAGGATTGTACATTTAAAACTGTATGTTACTGCAAAAATTATGACTGTGTGCACATGTACCATCTGTAATATCCTTGTAGAAATAACAGAACATCTATGTGCTGGTTGGGTATGAAAGAATATACAGAGACATCATCGTGAAAAGTATGTTACTTTCATGTCCTCCTTTCACATTTCTTATTTAAAAATAGGAAAATTAAATACACTAAATTACATTAAAAGTCTCCTACAACTGCAAATTTAAGGTATGAAATAAAGTTATCATAATCCTCAATCTCCCACACGCAGAGTTCAATCTATCAAATTCTGCACATGCAGAATGTCACACTGGGCCCAGCAATTATTCCAGATGACTAATTATGTCAGTAAACGTGTACCTTAATTGCAATGAGTCCAGTTCCACCATCAGATATGCAGGCACAGCTCCAATTACTTCAATGGAAGTTGCATGGAGGTATCTGAAGGCAAAATTGAGCACTTTAGGTGAAATTTTTAAAGATGGCCTCTTACTTTAAGGACAGATATGAAAGGATTAAGATATATCAATTAGGGACTGGAGTAAAAAATTTAATATCTTAATCCTATCATACATGCATGAAATAGACTGAGGATATGAAATCAGAGGGAAAAATGAGACCCCTTTAAAAATTTAGCCCTATCTGTGTATGGTGCACAGATTAGAGTTACTCTAAAAAAATAACTCTCTCATTGTGTGAATTTTAGGTGCTTTACCCTGTCAACTGTATGTTATACTAAACAATGTATATGATATAATGTTAGTCTGTATTAGTTATGATGCCAGAGAAAGAGTATTCTATTATGTAATAAAATGCTGTTTCAGAGATTATTAATGCAGTCAAGATTGGGTAAATATTCAACTTTAATTCTGTAATTCTTGATTTTTGTTATTTTTAAATCCTTAACCTTAACACACTTACATTCTGGTTTTCATTGTTAGATATCATTATATAAAATAACACGAGAACAATTAATGGGGACTGTGAAGTAAATCTAAATTCTCTAATGGAGAAATTTGAGATTCTGCATGGAGTAAAATGGAATTTAGCACCAACTGGCTGTTAATTTATTTCTAAGCATGTAATTGTATGAAACATTAAGTCTGCTCTAGAAAATACAACTGTGTTCTTTCTAGCTTTGTTTACCAACTACATCTGAGCATATGTTGTGTGTAGCTCAGTTCGGTGATAAAAAATTTCATCTGCCTGACAAGTAGCCCTGTATAACCTCTACATGTTAATCACAAGAAGCAGAAAAAAATCTAACACGGTAGCAAAAGCACATTAGCAAAACTGTAACAACCATAGGTAATGACACCAGATGATCACATTACTTTCTTGGAACACAGCTGGTTACCACAGGTAACAAAAACTTGACACAAAAAAAACCACTTCAAGAACTTAGCCTGCCTCTCAGAAAAATTTTGGTTATATTTTCTTTTCAGACATCAGTATTTACAGAGTGTTTTTCCTAGAGGTCTTGAGAGGTGAGACTACACAGTAATTTACAGATCAAAGCACTGTAATCCTAAGACCTTTAAATTGTACAATGGCCATAGAAATTAAAAACCTGGAGATTTACCATAAGTGTCTTAAATTAATGGTGTAACTACAACTATTACAGTTTTGTCAACAAGTTACTCTCTGGTGTCAGAAGTTATGCTGCAAAGAGCTATAACTCTGATGTTTTCAAGAGCTGATGATTCAGATATGAGATCGATCAGTATAAGAAGTAACTGAAAGAAGAGAACTCATTGATCAGACCACTTAAATAAGGGGTCTGAGTTTATAGCCAAAGATTTTACTACTATTAAATCACGTGAAGGTTGTACAACAATAATGTACATACAGAATCGAACCATGCAGGAGAGAAAAGACAGACATATGAATGGAATCAACATGTTGTATTTCAATTTCATTGATTTTATTTATAAACCAGTCTGACTCCTATAATCCCAGGAGTACTGGGTTTGGCTGGGATGGAGGCAGTTTGCTTCACAGCTAACTGTGTGGTGCCAAGTTTTAGAGTTGTGACTAAGTGTTGATAACACACTGATGTTTTAGCAATTCCTGAGCAGTGCTTGCATAGCACGAAGGCCTACTCTGTTTCTCATGCTGCAACCCACCATGCCGTCCCATCTCCCCCTAGCCCCAAGTAGGCTGTGAGACAAGACAGGTGGGACAGCTGACCCTGACTGACCAAAGGGACAGTCCACATCATATAGCATCATCCTCTGTAAGAAAACTGGGGGTAATATAAAATACACAAGTCCATAATACACTACGTAAAAGAGGTAGGGAATAAACTAAAGAAAATAGCTACAGGTCTCATTTTCAGCCTGCTATCAACCCTGAAAGAAAATTAGCTAACAGGTTTTTTTCCTTAAAGGAGAGCACCACATAATTTTTCTAACACTTTATCTCTTTACTAAGACTTTATGTGCTAGTGATACTCCTTCTAATATGTGAGCATTATGGTAAGATTTATAGTTACATCTGAAGGCATTAACTAGTTGACAGCCCTCGTTTTTATTCCTATCCTTAGAAAACTAGTATGGGCATGCTTCAACCCCTATCTGCTGTTTAACTGATAGAGAAGTTAGACCTGGCTAGAATCTTAACTGTTCAGAAAACATGCCACCTTTTCAATTATGTACAAAACAACACAACAATAATACTACAACAACAATACACTATACTGATGTATTACATGTAGATGGGCAGATAACTTTTTTTTCAATAGAACTTATGTAGACAGAACGTATCATGGCACATTTCTGTTATCCACAGAATGTGAATCTAACAATTCAAGAAATGTGATTTTAAGAGAAATTAAATTTGCATTGGCATCAACAACAGACCAATCCTATGAAAATTAGTGAGAGCTGAAAAAAGCACCAGTAACAACAGTGACCAGTGCAAAAGAAATGAAAGTATTTTTAAGGTCTAAACTTCTGTATTTAAGGTTTGAAAGGGGCTCTAAACTCTATATTAATTACAAAATTATTTAAATGTCATGATGGTATAAACACCCATCTATTAAACTGATAGCATAGTATATGAAAACTATGTGGGATCATTTAAATAAGGCAGCAATACTGAACTAGCAAGCAATGGCAAAAATGCTATATCTGCCTTTCTAGCTCTAGTTTTTAATTCCTGAGCCTTAATTGTTTATTTTTATTTAATTCTTTAGGTATCCCGCTCTTTCATATTACAACAATCATCAAAGAGACTTTACATTCTGTAGACTTTGGAAAACAGTGACTCTTGTCAACAAATAACATCTAAAAAGAACCCACTCATACACTTGACTAAAAAGGTTGGTAAAGTCAGATAAGTATGAACACATACGTTTAAAAAGTCAGGTGGTTAAGCATAGGAACGGTTTTCCATCACTTGCAGTCATTAAGTGAAAATACCTTTCTAAAAGGGCATTCTTGTTCAAACCCAAGTATGGGTTTAATGCCAGAATGACTGGTGACACTATCTGGTCTGTGATTAGAACTGATAATCATATTTTTCTTTTCTAGGCTACAGAAAACCTATGGATGCCTCAGCACTGGCTGTACCATTCTCTGTAATGGTGGAGTCTACAACAAACACAGCTTTTTCTCTTGAGGTACTTCTTGTTTCTATTCAAGATGATCAAGACAGAAAGAGGAGGTGTAGGCAGGAAGTCCTAACTACAACTATTAAATCTTTGAGTAAGCTACGTAACAAGAAGAAATTGGCATAAAGATTTCAGATAGCTGTAACTCTTTCCAAAACACATCCTTTATGATGCAAATTTCAAAGGAAAAAGTCTCGAAGTGTAAAATGACAGAAAGATTGCTTGCATAAGGAAGCTACTGAGAAGTAAGTTGAAGTGAAAATTTATCTCATAAAGACTATTTTATAGCAACAGTGTTTCTGGGGACAAAACCAGCATGTTCTGGCAGAGGAACAGAGAATTGCACTTATCACAGAAACCACCAGAGGTCTGACCTATTCTTCAATTTCAGTCTTCGTAATCAGTAAAAAAGCTGAACAGTGACAAACAGCTAGAGCTATAATGCAGCATATAGAAGTATGTACACTTAGTCTTTCTACACAGAAAAAGCTAGGAGTTTCATCTGTCTGTGCTAATTAGAAGCTCTGTGGATGGGAATCAGGGGGACAAAAAAAAACTGGTTTGAGGAACTGAGAAGCGGTGGCTGAAGAAGAAACTAGGTAGAACCTATGTCCATAACAAAGACAGGAAAATAAAGTAGTGATGTGATTTGGATGGGAGAATCCCCTAGTGTAAAGCTGCCTGTGTGGCACAGAAAAGAGAATTCACACTGGTATTGCACCAGGATGACCCATTTCAGAAATAATACAGAGTCTCCAGTTTATTTCTGTTCATCCTTCAGGATGAGTTTTGCAATATGTACACACAAAATATTCTTGTGACAGGTCTCACAACTTTAAAAATTCAGAGCAAACTCTACCATGAAATTTAAAAAGCATACAAAATTTTGGAACCACAAGCAGATAAATGTTTTGAAATATAAGGCTAGTAACACTGAAAAATCAGTTTGTTGCTAAGATAAAGAACTTATTACAGCTTCTTTGCATAAACAACTTCAAAGAGTACTTCATGTCAACATACAGATAGTAAGGGAGAGGACTCTGAAGCCTTCTCTGCAGCTCCAGTCCTTCTACCTGACTAGAGCTGCTGTGACTACCTTAAGCTTGTGTGCATTAATTTCCTTTCCATGGGAGCTGATCCTGCTCTGGACCTCCTCCCAGTCAGAATTAAGGCATGACAAAAGCACATAGTCAGACTTCCAAGCTGGGAAATGAGCTTGGATCTCCCAATACACACAAAGGCATGGTGGCCATCTTGAGTTTCAAAACTGACTCCAGAAGGAAGATGAGCCAAAATAAAAATCTGAACTGGCTGATGAAACATTCAGTTGTTCCTCAAAGATTTTCAAGGATGATCCACACAGAAGCTTCCATTTAAAATGAAACAACAAGAAAACAAACATATATCTCTTAAAATTTGGAAAAGAAAGTAAACCACTGATTTTGACAGCAAACCAAGTCAGCATTTTCATAATCTAATGAAGACTTTCAACCTTTCCCACTGATAAAACGTGGGACAGATTGCTTTTTGATTACTTTGTTGCAGATTTATCTGGTCAGTGTTGTTCACATCTATAGTACATGCTTTCACTCATATTTCTGTCTCTTCCCACATAATATTCTGTAACTCCCCCATCCTGATCTCCCATTCACCTACTATCTATTCCTTTAACCTCTTGTCAGAAGTGACACTGGGCTACTAGTGTAAGTAAGTCAGCTCAATTTAAGATGTTCATGGTCCCCAAAACTGCCAGCACTCTACTTCTTCCCTCTCCTTTTGCCCAGCTCTTTTCTGTCTCTGGGTTGCATCTGCAATCCTTGAATCAGAGGAATCTGCATGCAAATATCCCACCACCTTCTATACATGCCCAAAACTTGGGCCAGATCCATCCAAATCTTGTGGAAACAATTTTTTTTACAAACCTGATACGGGCAGTCTAGTTTGTCTGCATAAAGTCCATTGTTTTAAACAAAACACCATCCACTGCAGCCCAAATCACGGGACAAGGTTTGTGAACTTGAAAGAGGCATAATCAACAAACAGGTAAGATTGATTTGTACTGTTCTGTTTGAGAAAAATATAAATATTGAAGCAAGCAAAAATTACAGAAATAATTTGTAAAACCAACCACTCTTAGCACTTTCTTATGACATTTCACAGTATATTCCTAAACTTGCAAAAATAACTTGTAATTGCTAATGCCTAAATTAAATATTATTTCTTTTTCATCTTTTTTTTTTTTAGCATTATTGTGAAAACTTATTCAGGTATGTTTGGCATCGGTGTTGGAATTTGTAGCTAGTGGTGCAGCTGCTGTATTTTTACCTAAGCATTCACCCTTTCAGGAAGTAAAGAAACTGAAGGGAATTCTTTGATTCGAGTTCAACTCATAGTTTGGCTTTGACTCACCAAAGCCTGTTTTCAGATCAGAATTTCCTAAGACGTGTGGGACTCAGGAATAAAGGTTAGAAAAGTTTAATCTGCATCATTAATGTTTGTGCAGCATAGTATTTGTTTTTTAAATTAAAAGGTTGGGGTTTTTTCTTTTTTTTTTTCCCTCTCCAAACTTCATTTGAATTTTGATATAAATCCTTCTTTCAGCTAAAAGGAAAAAAAATAGGACATTTCTGCAATGTTGTCTTTAGAGACATGACAGACTACACTTTTCATTTTGTGGAACAGCCTTAGATACCTGTTGTTTGATTCCCTGGTATCAGCACAGACATGGAGAATTGATAGGAGGTCAAATTCATAGGAGGTGAGCACTGTATGTCTGTCCCTAGAAACTTGTCCTACATCAGCATTAACTTTCTGAGTGTCAAAGGATTGACATGCAAATAGAACACAGCTCAGAATCTCTCTACATACAAAGGATAGTTTCTGTCATCATCACCTCCAACTGTTCCTAAGTGCACACCTATGAAACATCCTTCAGAGACATCAAGGGCCATGGCTGCATCATTAGAAGCAGATGCTGTGCTCAAGAAATTTGAGGAAAAATCTTAATTCTTTGTGTGAACTTTAACTCAATCAAGCCCCTTCTGAGCCAAGTAAAATATCATGACCACTCCTGCTGAATCCAGTATATTGCATTTCAATAGGAACATGAAAAATCACAAGAGAAACCATTTTCAGATTTTAATGAGGGGCATCAGATAGCATAGAGATATTTGAGAAAGAACTTTATCACATGTCAAACACTGTTAATGGAATATTACATGCTGACATGGCATATATTGAGGGAAAAGCCAGTATCAACAGTTGCCAAACATTTGTAAAAAATTACATAAATATTTACCTTTTGTGGGAGAGTTAAAAGTCTCTTGCTCTTCAATGAATTAAATGCACGGAATGATGGAAACAGAAAAAGAAATCAGCAAATTTAAAGTTAGATAAAGAAATGTGTTACATGTGACAATGGTATGTACAGTAGGCGGTACTCCAGCATATGTAAAAGTAATGTAGAAAATTAAAATGATAAACCATGACAAATAATAAAGCCTGTGACTTTTTCTTTAAAATCAAGAGGAACAATGAAGTTACAGAGAAGCAGATTGTGGAGTCTTTAAGTATTCTGCTAGAGCAGTACCATCATACCCAAATTTAAGAATGACATAAAAATCTTAAAATTGCTTTAATCATTCCCCCTCCTGAGCCACATAGTACTTTTTCAATTCTGAAGCCTTTTCTGCAATAATGAGTGTCACAAATTTATTTTCTATTAACTGAAATCTATAATACTCAATAACCACTGGACTATTGAAAATCAGTTTTTAAGGAAAACATACAAGATTATGAGGCTTGTACTTATTTGCAAGAGTTAGCAGTGCTAAAAACAAATACTCTCCAATCTTTACTCTTGAGTAAAGATTCCACAAGCTGCTTCAAAATATGAAGTGCCACCTAATAATTTAAAAATAAAACCAGGTATATGAGGACAAAACAAACAACACTGAAAGTCTGAGATCTAAAACTGAAGTTGACTTTTTCTTATATTGATAGATCAGCAAAAAGATTTTACTGAAAGGGTTTGATCTTTTATCATTACCCCAACCATACTCTCACTGCAATGACATTTTAATGATCAAGTACATACAAACGGAACAGTTTTCACTAGGAACTATTTTTTTTTTTTTTGATCTTATATTGGTTACAAATAAAAAGATACTTGCAATTCAATGTATTATTTGACAACATACTGATTTTCTGTACAAAACTATGACTCTTATTTGTTTAAAAGGAAATACAGGACATCAAAACACTTCATTCCTCTGTGACGTGACTACCATTGTACATATATTACACATAGGAACTTTATACGTGTAATCCCCATTCAGTACCAGTAGAATGTTCATATAGTTTTCCCTCATGTAACAACAGCAGCACACACACACACACATGCACTTCACCCTCAATACAAGATATGTACAAACCTTGTGCAGCCTTTTCCAACATAACCCAAGATACAACAATGCCTAACGCTGGATGCACTTTTGCTTTTCTCAGTGTCACTCCTAAGGCCTATTGCCGCTGGAAACACACACACCCACCCTACTTCGGTTATGTTTGCAAATGTTCTTTATGCTTTAAAAGACTGTTAATTATCACAAACCTTCCTCTCTTTATAGGACTTCTGAAATAGGAAAATACATTGCTGAAGCTATGAAAAAGAAATCATGCTGTGAAGACCCAAATAGAAGCAGACAGAGGGAGATAGACCTCTTTTTGCAAGAATTAGTCCTGAAAGAGTGTTTCTATACTACAACCATCGCACATTGCTGGTCCATAAATGTCACAGTATTTTTTTGTTATCTACTTGCTATATTTCCTACTATAATCCCTACTATTATCTACTGCAGGTAGAAAGGAGTGAAGGAAAATGTTCCAGATCTTCAGGGTGTATTAATTTTCTTGATCAATACAACAATTAACCATCATATGAAAATGCAGAGACCCACCCTCAAATCTATTCAAGCAAGAATTCCCGTGATGTTTGATAGCTGCAATGACAGCGGACAGACTGAGTAAAGATCACAGAGGCGTGCTTTGCAAAAAGGTATCATTTAAACACAACACAACTACATCACAAAGTTGTTTTAGAAACAGCTGAGAAACAAAGTCAACCCAGAATCCCCATCTCTCTTAACAATTTGCACTGTTCCACTCAAACATGATGCAAATAAAAAAACAGTGAAGCAAACCTCTTACATCTTAGCACAGAATGACATATTGAGAATACACCATTGTCCTTACCATGGCTTAGAATTTCACTGCTTTAGTCACTGAGCCAAAACATCTTCATAGCATTAGGTCCTTTTATAAAATTATTAGTTAACACACAAAAAAATAAATCCCACTTCTTCAGTAACATAAGGTAGGGTAATGACTATTAAACTGTGATGTCTTGAAAACACACACAGACTCATCTATACAAAACTAATTTTCAATATTAAAGCATCTCCAGACTTTTAGATACAACAACATCCCATGTGTCTTGGACTCTAAGAAATACTGCTGAGAGGATTGCAAAGGAAAGAAATACAACTATGTCTTCCTTGAATATTACTGTAAGTAAAATAAAAATCATATTGCCTAAAAATTACAGAAGCCTATAATCTTAACTGCAACCACTTTAAAACGTCTGTGCTTGCTGGAGTTGCTAGAAATATTTAGTTAGAATTGCCTAAAATGAAAATAACTATGCCTCTCCTCTACTTCAAAACTACACAAAGCTGTTCTCCCCATTAGAACATAATGACCAAGAAGCCCTTTATTTTTTTGCCTGTGTGCATAATAATGATGTTTTGAGGTTTTAGTCCTTAAACTGGATTTCTCTCTACATTTAAGTTTTTTATTTTGTTCCTGATCAGCAGCACCAACCCTATTTCTGTAATGGAATAGGGAGCACTACTTTGGTCTTCTGTGTACCAATTACTTCTGTGATTTTTATTTTAAATAAAGGACCTTGTAAAACCACCTTATGTTTTCATAAGCTGAAATTTTATGATTTCCAAACTGCCAGCCACAGTAGTAAATAAGATAAAATCATCTGGTAGAGACAAGAAAACGACCTTTTTTTAGTTCTAAATTTGACAACAAAATGGAATGTCTGAGATGCAATGTCAGTCCTTAAAGAAGCCTTATTAGCATGAATATGGTCACTTGACACGATAGGTAGAGATTAAGAGTCAAAATATCACTCTGTTTCTCCAGACGGAAAGCGCTACCAGTCTCTTGCTCCTTCATTAACTCTCATTTGTTCAATGAGAGCTTTAAAGAGTAAGAAAATTACTTCCCTGAAATTACTTCCCTGGATTCTTCTATGTCTCCTGAATATGCAAAGAGCAAATAAGGAGCCCATCCTTGATATACAGACACGTAATCTTTTTACAGCAATCACTGTGACTTGTTTAACAGACTTAGATTCATAGATGTACGTATTTAGATGTGTACTCAACCCTCAGCGAACAATAGGATTTGTAAAGAGTGCAAAGAAGTACTTTACTATAAAAATGATAGTTTATGGAATATCATACAAGTTTTCCTGGAAACACAGGATGTCAATACTGACCATCAAAATGAAGTTGCATTTGTAAATGAAGAAAACCCATTTTTAAATGTTTCCTATGACATTTGTATACTGCACTACATTTTGACATCATCTCCATCTATGGTGACTGTGAATTTAAACCAACAAGGACACAATGCAGTTTCAAGTACAGTTAATGTAAATATTTTGCAGAACTCAGAATGCTTTGGATTCAGTCCTACATTAAGGTCAGATCACTTCTAGTCACTACATTTGACAGTGATACTCATTTGACAGGGATTAAAGAGATGAAACTAATATTAAAATTTGATACTGTAAATCAGAGCAAATACTGCAGTCTTATAGACTCACTGAATTTAATTGTTTGAAGTAGTATAAAGTTAGACATACTTGCATATTTATTTCAGTAAATATGACAAAATTATTTAAAAACCTTTTATAAAACTTATTCAATTTACTACTTCTCTGCAAATACATTCCGAGCCTGAACAGAGTATTAAATGTGGGTAAATTCAGAAAACCTCCCTTTCAGAACCACAAGTCAGTCACTCAGACAAAACCAAAGTACTATTGTAGAGAAGGAAATCTCTTTAGCCTTTAAATCCATGTGCTGTATTACAGCCATATGACACGGGTGGTATGATACATAATAATAAAGCAAATGATATGACGCATCCTACTTGTGCATTTTATATGTAAGACGCAAGCTTATCAACCACAAGTGTAAGCAAGAGTTCACTGAAAGAGCATGAGTTTACAGGTGTTCACAGTATCAACAGCTTTCTAAACTCAGAGAAGCTTTAGTCTTCTGCTCAACTTTTTTTTTTCCTCTTCTGTACACATCCCATCTCTATTCAGTTTCATGTTAAGTTCTGCATGCATTTCCAATGCCTTCAACAAAACATAAACTCATATTTTACTCTCACACATCAGCTATCAAGGACAGCAGAAAGATGATATATGAATATCCAAATAAAAACCAACCTAAAATTAACTTAAGAGCTGATTCATCATTATGTATTGCACCAAGTTCTGACACTGAAGAAGAAACATGAAAATTGAAATTCATTACTTATTACATTTCCCTAAGAAGCACTCAATTTGCTAATATGCAGAAATAGGAACTGCAAAACGAGAAGACCTGAATATAAAGTTTAAAATTATTAAAAGCCACTTATATTAGCATATTTATCATTCAAAATAAATAGATTTATAAAACAAGAGTACAGTTTATATGTGCTAATTGAAGGTTTAGTATGTCATCACCATAAAATTAATGCAAACTGATTGCATGTCAATGCAAGCCATCATACACGAAATCCCCCATGGTAATCTCTCATGATAAGGCCATCATGGTCAGCAACACCATCTATCCAAGAGTGTGATTAATATACAGTTCTGTAAAGCACCACAATATTTCATTAGAAGCATTTCTTTTATTTCCAGATAAAAGAAAACCTTGTGGTATGTGGCAATCTCAGTCATTGCTTGTAGTCAATGTGAAAACAGGGTTTTTAAAACACAGAAGAAAACATGAATGTGCAAATATTAGACATGTGCCACTTCAATTTACCATAATAATTCACACTCTGTATGTTGGTAGAAAAGGAAACAGCAATGTACATATTATTTGATATGAGTATGTAAAACACATCTTCCATAACCATTAGGTCTATATTGTCTTTTTCATAAAAGCAGCAGTCTTTGCCTGATCAGTTTATTCTTAAGCAGGAAAGGGCTTGTGACTTGTGCTTTAACATTTCCCCTGGTGATTATTTTCATTCTTTACTCACTGAAGTATGAACTCCAGATAAAACCCAGATTTTTTATATTTATTATTAATCTATGTTAATAATGCACAACAATAAATATAAACCACAAAATAAGAAATGAGAAAGACTGTCAAAATGTTGCAAAACTCTTTGCCCCTGTTCTTTTTAGCTGATAACATATGAGGTATGTGTTGGAAACTACCATGACTAATAGAAATTTTAAACATGAAAGGCTACTAGAAAATTAAGGCAATTAAACCACATGTAATAATAACCCACCAGTCAAACTCCCAAACTAGATTTCCCAAACTAAAAAGATTCTTTCATTCTCTTCTATTGTTTTATTGGTAGAAATGCAGCATTGGGCGCATATTATGCAAGTAGACTTTGAGTAAAGAAAGGTAAGAAATCAAAGAGTCTGAGCTATCATAAGCTCATTATTTGATACCTTGCTCTATACTGCCACTTCTTACTGGAACTTGCGGTAGCTGTCTTCCCCTACGACTGCTGAAGGATGTGTCTGCAGGAGGAGACTGTGTGGGACTTCCTTGTTGATGTGTTCTGCAAATGAAATTAAGATAAAAGCAAAATAAGCCAAATGAAGAGACTTTTTATATTCTGAATTTGAAACACATATTAAGTTGCAGATACTGAAGAGAGGTGTGAAAAAGTCTGCATTTGGTCTATGCCATATGCATATACCCAGGTCTAGATATCTAGTAAGCTTATAAGACATCACATTTAATTTTTCTAACTACCTTCAACTAAGAAGAAATTATTTTCTTTGTTTTGTTTTGGGTAGGTTTTTAAAAATTTATTTATTTGGGGGGGTAGTTGTGGGGGTTTTTCCTTTTTTTTTAAGATAAAGTACTAGTAAAAAAACATTGAATGAAAAGCATTTTTTTTAGAACCATTTCTGATCATGACTCACAATTTATACATTCTCCTGCACTGGTTCAAGGGCAATAAAAAATGCCACCTCTGCATCTCATTACCTTTTGTATTCCCTTTGTGCTGATGCAATAAATGCACAAGACCACAGAGAACTGGACAGCAAGTATCTATTCCCATAGGATAGCATGTAGTTTTTCCCTGAACTCAAAGAAGGAAAAAAACCTTTAACTTGTGGTGTGTGTGTGTGCTTGAGTGTGTATCTGTGCAAAGCTTGTACAAGATTTTTAATATTTATTACCTAAGTGAATATCCTAATTCTCTTGGTTGAATTCTAGCTAGCACTATTTCAGAACAATGTGACTACTTTATTTCTTACATATAGATGCAGCTTCTGAGTTTAACACTTCAAACACCTTTGGAACACTGGCATTTAACATAAGTATGGGTGCTTATAATAACTATAAGGAAAAAGTTTAAGAAAGTAAAACAAAGATGCGAAGCAGCGGACCACTGAGGAGAGCTTGCTATGAAATGTCCTTGCCAGTTACAAACTCACTATAGTGGATAAGCACTGTTTATCTACTACACTAAGGTTGCAAGTAGATAATTTATAATTTTAAGTAACAAATTTGTGCAAATTCAAAATACTGTTGGCTTTCACTACATAGATCAACTGACTTGTAACAGCAGCTTGTAAGATCAGTTAGCTGTGTGAACAGCACATGATTTTCCACACAGTTTTTAAGAAAAGTACTTTGATAATTTTCAGATGGATACAGAACAAAACACAACAATGGAGGGACAGAACACAGCCAACCTTTTACTCTTACTTAGCATAACTATTTAAATTCAACAGCAAAAAGTATCACCTGGATGGTGAAGATAGATGGCATAAAGGATATGGGAGAAGTGTAAATACCATGAAGAGAGGATAATCTATAGTGCCAGAATGAGTGAACGTGCCATGTATGCTCAGAAAGGTACAACACCACACTGAAACCTGGGAGGCAGAACATGAAGGCTATGCTGTACACATAATAGCAACCTTGTCAGAAGTGGAGAAGGTGGCGCCGACCCTCCAGATGCTAGGTGATGTACAGAGCATAAGGGTTTGATACTAGACTGCTCACTCGACCTTGAGCGAGTGTGATGTTTTCCCCTAATGACTGGATGTTCAGTCGTTCGTGGGGTTGGAAGTCCCCTCCGAGAAAGAGATGGTAGCAGACCCCTAAAACATCAGTGCCAAAAAGAAACTGTTCAGTAGTTAGCTCCAGGCAGATCTTCCCATGCCCTCCTCCATCAAAGAACATTGCAGATCCTGGCTGCAGGACCAGGATTGATGTTTCAGATAGAAGTTATTAATTCTGACTGCAAATCCGTTTTCAAAATGACAAACTGCAGAACACTCACCACAGCAGATACACATGACCCTAATTGTGGAACTGTTGAACTGCACTGCTTATAATGGAAAGCTGGCCAAAATCTCTAGCTGCACCTTAAACACAGCAAACACAAGCTAACAACACTTACGACACAGGGACTAGACCAGAGTAGGCTATGAATACCTACTTTTATCACAAAGTATTTCTGTTTCTAAAACATAATTCTATGATTCTATATCTTTTACCTTTATTAAAAATATTAACTTCATTTCAATCAGTGTCCTAAAAAATGACAAAATGGAGGCACATACGTAATTCCCTGTTTCCCTAACAGTTTGAAATAAGAAATCTATTTAAGTATCTGTAAGTACTAAAACAGAAATATGGTTTTGAAGGAACTATAATGAAAATTAATTATATTATGCAGTAAAATGATTAATTGTTTTAGCATAATAAAGCATAATTAATACTAGTTCAATAATTGAATACACTGCAAGTAAAGGATAAGCTGAAACATTTCAGGTTTGTAGAGTGCCAAAGTATTCTAAATGTGCCTTTTTACTCTTCCTTGGCTTTCCAGCAGTGCAGCATTTTGTAAATGGTACTATTATATCTGCTGTTATTTCAGAAATTTCAATGTCTTGTGACATCATTTCGTTGTGGGGTGGTTTTGCTTGGGTTCTTTTTGATTTCTGTAGACACACACCCAGCATAACTTTCCCACAAAATACAGTCAAAGTAACCAAGGAACTGTCTGGTTCATATGACTATCATACACTAAGGAGTTATCCTAAAAAAATCCCTATATATGAAATTACATGCAGATGCCTACCAAGGATAACAAACAGGTTTAGATTCAAAGCCATTTCATCAGTAACAGTTTATGTGGAAGGCCAGTCACAATGCAAAAAATTCAAGATTCTGTTGCCCTTGCTTATATTCTCTCTTAAACCCTAACACTTCTTCAGCTTAACTCCTGGCTTGCCCTGGTGATAACCGTGACATTCTTGAAGAGACTGAATCTCCTGATTCTGAAAGATGCTTATGATAACGAAGATGAGCTGAATTCTGAAAATGCCTGTTTCTCCATGCTGAATGTAAAAGTAATCCATCCCAACTGTTGCACGTAACCAGCTTTTAAGCATCTGTTTTATCAGATGCCTAAACATCATAACATCCATAAGGTAAATATGGATCCCACTCAATATCAGAAACTTCTTGTTTGCTTTTACTATGAATAAATGCTTTAATCTAAAAAAGTCATCAGGTTCTCAGTTCTGATATTTTTCATTTTAGAGTCTAAATATCCTGGAATTTATCTGATAGCCTAGTGAAACACTGTGAGTCTGTCCTGCCATTACAGAACAGGACAGGACTTACCTGCAACTCAGAAACTTATCTCCTTCTCCAGTAATACTCTTTTTACAGACATGTCCCCTTCCAAGAGAAAGATAGAGGATCTGCTTAACTCAAAGACCTATAAGGCTCAAGATTTGCATTAGCTGGGTTATTACTATGAGATGAATATGTTACCTGGGATGCAAATGAAAAGAGAGCTAAAAGGCAACTGAAGAATAACTAGTATGGAGTTAAGGACTTGCTGGCCTAGGAGAAAGATCTGTTGCTGGAAGGAAGAAGCCTGCAAATGGCTGATCTCTAGAGTGAGACAAAAAGGAACAAGAAACAAGCATGGGAGACAAAAAGCTAGTGAAGAAATAAGACAGAATTGAGATAAGAAGTATGAAGAGGAGAGGAATTTGGGGAAAAAATGATACCTGGTGAGCAATGAGACTGCAATGTGCACATACATGTGTATCTCATCTTCTGATTCCTCACAGGTGGTAACACCGCAAGCAGAAAACCTATTAATTCAGCTGACAATGATCTACAGGGGAATCCTACACGTTCCAGCTTCACCAGCATACGAGAAAACTCAAATTCCTTTCTCTTCAGCCAGATGCCTCAGTGACACATATTACATAAAATATGCTGCCACCTAAGAAACTATAAAGAAAAACTAATAAGACAGCGTCACCAATCTAGCACACCCCTGGCATCGTGTCCTATGCAAAATATAGAAAATACAGTCAAAGACTGTGTGTATCCTAGCATATATGACAGGTAGCATCACATCTAGCATTTCTGGGGTGATCAGTTAGGGTTGAAGGAAAACATTTTAGAATTGGGATGAACCAAATTTTACAAGTTTTGCTTATTCAGACAAGAACAGAAAATGCTGGATTTTCATGGAATCAGTTTTCCTCCTTCAGAACATTTCACTGAATTTCATCTTGAAGGTTTATCTCATTGAATTAAGAGAAGGTTTAGGTTCTTTAAACTATCCTGAAAAGGTTGGTCTTTTCCCTTTTAGGTACATTTCTTAAGATATCACAATACATAGAACATTTAATTTTACACAATATGCTGAAATGCTTTATAGAGAAGCTGACAGTATGCTGATATGTTATTCCAGTAGTCTGCTTATCTAATAGATAAGATCTGCAAATTGCAAAATACAGAGCAATTCTTCAAAAAAAAAAATGAATATTTGAAGAAGAAAGAGTCTTGAATTATGCTTGGTAAGAAAATTAATTGCCTACCCTATTATCAAAACTTTTTGGCATTAGTGCAATATTACATCTATGAAGAAATACTGAACTACAGCACAAGGACTTATTTAGACATTTTGTCTCACATCTATTACCGTGAATCATTTTAGGGAAACAGAAACCTACAGCATGTGCCATGGAGATGTAAAAAGAAGCAGCACAATTCATGTTTCTCTATGCTCTTGTTCACTGGGCTCATTGCTGAATGGTTACCAAGAATCAAATCCCTTTCTAACTCTTCCAGAGTTAGAAAAGAACAGGTGAAAAAATGGTTTTAGTGATCTCTGTGGCAAAACAATCCCTGATTTAATCACAGCAAGGATTTCAGACATCATTTAGGTAATTTCTCTTATTCAAACTGAAAAAGAAACTGGGTTGTTGTGACAACAGAATCATCAAACTCAAGAAAAATGTAACCATTGCTTTTCCATCAGGAACAATAATCTGGGACTTGAAGTAGTAAAACAAAATAAAAGCTCTGAAGTTCTGCTACATAATGTGTGTTTTCATTGAAAACAGAGATGTCTGTGATGTTCATGGAAGATTTTTCAGCTCTCACAATGTAAACAGATGCATATTCCACCTCTGCTCATCAAGGTAACATAAATCTATTTCTGAAAGAGGCAGAATCGCACCCCTCATCACTACTCTTAATTTTGCAAGACACAGGGTTTAAAATTTAACTAGATGTTCTTATGATTCAGTATATATCTTTGTGGTTTTTTTACTTTTTCTTAACAATTTGAATATGTAACCCCATGCTACTGTAGCATCAAAGTTAAAAGTTATAATGATAATACAAGTTCAGGAAAATTCAATAAATACAAAAGTTAAAGTTCCAGTGTTTATATCAACTCTATGTAATGACAGATGTTGTAATTTTCTATACATATATAAATGTGTAACTTAACTTTTTTATATATTAAAGTGAAATTAACTTGATCACAGACATTTTGAATTAATAATCTATATATCTATCTATCTAATCTATTTTATCATCCTCAAAATTAGTCTAAAATAAAGATTTTTTTTGAAAAAATCAATGGTTAAGTGTAGAAAATACCTGCTAATCTTTACCATTAAATTTATCTGCAATGATGAATGCCAGAAAAATTCCATATGTATGCAATGAAGTGCTAATTATACAGATACAAAGTAAATAATACTGTCGATTACAACAACATTGCTTTGGGTACTGTCACAGATGTTCTAAAAAAGTTGTATTAGAGGTATATTCAAAAAACTGGAATCAGACTGATAATAAGAGATGTTTACACATCCATCAGTAATCCTACCTTTCTGTTTCAGTTGCGGGGCTTTTCCTAGTTTGTTTTTGGCTGCTATATCTTTCCACTTTTCTGGACTGCCTGTGAAATGACATGTCAGAAAAGAAATAAACAAAGAACAAAAAGAACACAGAAATATGAAGATTATTTATTCGTGTATTATAAAGGTAATAACAGAAATGGTTGACAGATAAGAAAGTGACAATGATCATCATGAACAGGCTGGTGAATTTGAGGTATAAAAGGCATTGCACTGATTAGGTTTGATTGAGGCTCATGATATGAGAAATATGAGGCACTAAAAGAGGGAAGAAAACATTAATCCTGACTGAGCCTGCAACTAGTTCCCCCTTCCCAGTCTGTATTTGATTAAAACAATGCCTCCTCATAGGCCTATAAGTCATCTCTTAACAGCATGAAAAAGAAATTCAGAGTAGAAAGCAGGAATAAAATGTTGCAGAAAGTACCAGAAAATACTATTCAAATGTAAACTTTAGTTTGAATTTAAATTTCAAAAGCAAAACAAATACTGCATCATATCAGATTTAAGTAAGGGTGTCACCATATTAATAAAAACTTGGCTTTTAAAATTCTCATCCTATTAAAACTTGTTAAAGTTTTTGGAAACAGTATAAACCAATTCTATTTTTTTTTTCTAGTCAATATAAATAAGATAGACATTTATTTCATTTCTTCACTCCTTTTCTACACAAATCTTATATAGAATCCATCTGACATTTGGACAGTGAGGCACTGTTTACCTCTGACAGTCTAAGCACTTACTTTGATAGTAAATAAGAACAATGAACAGCAATATGAGTCAATACATGTAAGAACAAAGTTAAAGCCATATTTCATTACTACCCAGGACTATAAACATACTATGTAAATCTCTGCAAATCTTGTGTTCCAAAATTTTCTGTACTATCCATAGTAATGCGACCATTTACAATTTAGGATTTACAATTTAAAACCTCTAAAAACAATCAATGTATACTAGCTTTTTAGAAGAAAAAGTGCATACAGTATTTCAGGAGTGATCAAAACCAGGGAGCGATGATTATTCATTCATAGACCGGAAACTCTGACAAACTTTAACACATGTAAGATCTTGTAATGATACAATCAATGTCATGTATTAAGCTATATAAGAATTACTGTGGGCAAAACAAATAGATAAAAATAATATTTAAAGTAATATGTTCTCCTTTAAACCCTTGCCTTGTGGTTATAAAGAGTAATCCAATGTCTGACCTGGAAGATATCTAAACAGCTGTGACACTAAATTATACCCAAAGAACATAATCACAGTGGATTTTCATTATTTGAACCCACTGCAATATTTGATGAGTATTATATTGTGACGCAGTATACTCCATGACAAAGAAAACACTGCAGCAAAATATAAAATGCTTTCTGCATAAGCAGAGGTCATTACCTGAAGCTTTCTGGGTTTTGAAAGAATATATTTTCTTACCACAAAAATAGTATTTCAGATTAAAAATTAAAATCCTTTTGTCCTCAAGCTATTTTTTTCAGATTTATTTTTTGTATATTCTCATTACTTTTCAATTCTTTTCCTTTACCAGGACAAATATAAAGTAGGTACACAGGAAACCACACATATTAAATGCTGCAGCTTTACATAAAACCTGCAGTTAGCAAAGTATTTAAAATTATGGCTAGATCCACTGTACACAGCAGCATTATCACTCAAATTACAACACCCTCTTCATTTTCTGTTTAGTTGGTTCGTTGGAGCTTCTTTTTCTCTTACTCCTTCTGTCACTTGCTTAGATTGTGACATCACATGCAATGGAGAAAAAGAGCACATAGTGACTACTTTTAGTAGAATGGAAAAGGTGAGAGTAGGGCATGCTTTCCTGTGAAAAGTAACAAATTAATACGTAGCACTAATGAGCTGAATACACTTATTTCTCTGCTCTCAGTGCTGCCCTTGGGACATTTATATAAAATCAGTTTCCTTTCTGTTTCCTTCCTCTTGCTAAGACGATGCTGTATAAATGTCCATGTGGCTCAACAGCTTACTACACTGCTTGGAGTCCTGGCTCAGCTTGAGTACAGTGTGGGCATTGGCAGGTGGGCATTTACAAGTAGGTGTCCTTTTGTGCTCAAATACAGTGTAAGAAGAGTGCACTGGGGTAAGAACACTCATGTCATACTCCAATTTACCTCTTAAACGTACCTTTAAGGAGAATAAATATTATCCATGAGCAATACATGCATACATGTACTTGTACATAAAACCAAAAAAAGAAAGAAAATATGTGAAAGTATGCAGAGCATGTGAAGAATATACTATAACCAATACCTCATTTATCTATGATTTTAGTAAATAAGGATACCTCTGTGCTGCTCCAGGTTTAGCACTTAGGTGGTCTACACTGTCCTGTTTTGGAATGCAAGACTCCAGCGTCCTTGTTCTTCACAATGTTTGGAAACATGGATGTGTATTTGGACAGAATGAGCAGAAACAAAGAGATGGTCACATGCAGTGAAGGTGGAGACATGCAGTCAAATATATAAACCAAAAGCATTAAGGCACTATCTCCTGAAAAAGGCTATATTTCTCGTTTCCCCTTCCACTGATTTAATTCAAAAACTGTAGGGAAATGTTGAAATTTTTAGATGTAATATCAACAACCTAAGATGTAATAAGCAATAGAATGAAAGTTACAATGATTTAAAAAACCTTTATATTCTACATGCTGAATGGCAGCACTGTAGTTTAATAGGTGCTATTATCCTTCCCAGAATAAATCCACGCTATTGTTCACTAGATTAATAAATAACCTATAAAGAACATATTCCCTTATGAAGATGTGCATTTTGTCATTATACTGTGAAGTTCTCCTGAAAATACAAGCAAATTTCATCATTTTATACATTTTGACAAAAACTTTGTATTTTGTAGTAATTAACAATAATTCAATAGCAAATTAGAATAACTGACTCATCTTTCTTTAAAAACAAACAAAACAAACAAACAAAAACCAAATGAAGATCAGACTATTTCTGAATGTCTGAATATTAAATTTGGATTTTAATGATAAAACTCAGGAAAATGTGCAGTCCACTACTTATCTAGGTAACGCAATATATTTGCATCTATACTGACACTGAAGTGAGGAAATGCTAAGATTTCTCTTTCGGATCATAAATATACCAACTGTGACACCAAATCAGTGATCAATAGGTATCATACATAGATAAGCACTTTATATTATTTTATATACAGACAAACTATTCAAGTTTGTGTTCCAAATACCTACGTGCCTCAAAATATTTAACACTGTTGAGCGTAAACAAAAACTACACAAAGAAATACGACAATATTCCTGTCAAAATTAAGAACTATTATTCCTAAATTGACAAAATAGCATTTTGATACAATTCAGTGTATAAGATTTTAAAATTATTTATTACTGGCTTGTACAAGAGACCTCAGTGTTTTGCAGTGACTCTGCTACTTTATGTAGCCTTAAAGCCATCAAGAACTGTCATGTTCAACACTTCCTGATCTTTACTGAAGTTTTCTAAAAGGCTGGATCTACATGGTATGTGAGCTGGGAGGTCACAAATACTCTGAGGGTTTGCTACCTCCTCATGCTCATTCTTAGCAGTTCAATCCACATCTGGCAAAACTGCTTCCCTGATCAAGTCACATAGTGGTTGCCAAAAGATGAGAAAGGATCGATCAGACCAAATTGTTCTTTCACTGGAATTGAACAGCACAGCAAAGCAAAGTCATGGAAGTACCAAAGGGGCTCTTGATCTACAGCTGGATTCGGGATGACTCTTGGATAAGCATTCTTATAGATGCACGCATGACTGACAAAAGCTACTTCTCTTAACTGAAAATATAATAATTAATTTTTATAGGCTTTTTTTATTCACTCTTGGTTATATGCTGACAATATATGCAGACCTCTCAAAAAGAACAGTCTGAATTAAATTTCCACCTACCACTAAATGCTCAGCTTTCATTTCCCTTTTTTTATCATCACCTAAATTTCAGTTTCACAGTTCTCCAGATACCAGTCTGCCTATGCTGTAGGCATTAGACATTTAGACCTTCTAATTCTAATTTCCAATAAAAAAAGAAAACCCTAAAAACCTTCCAGCAATGAAGCTATCAAATTCAAACGAAAAATTGTTCTTTAAAGTATCTTGTAGAAATACATGATACTAACCAAACATTTGTTAATTCTTAACACTGAAATAATACATAACTCATGTCTCATCAATGTAAATGAAGGAGTCACTACTTTCTGTTACAGTAAATGAACAAAGTCCAGAATAACAATAATTTTGTAAGGACTTTTATTAAAATTTATGTTAGAAATCATTATGAATAAATAAAATGTTGCAAAAAAACCCCAAATTGGAAATAATGCATATCATATGCATTTAAGAATTGTATTCATAAATAGACCTTGATTGTACCCCATATGCAAATTTGGCCAATTTGTAGGATGAATCTTTAATGTACTCAAATGAAGAGTAAGATGACACCTGTTAAAGTCAATTAATCTCTGAAATATTATTTGTAAGTGGTGACAAGTAGTTAGTTAGTCAGCCCTGCTGATCTATCAGACAGTCATTCCCCAACACCCGCTGCTTCAGTTGTCAAGTTGTTACAAGTGTATCTTAAAAAAAACAAAGAAAAGTTATAGAACTGACTAGTGTTGGCCCACTGCAATAATGGGAAATAATGAGAACAAATGAAAACTAAGAGTAGAAAACAAAGGTAAAGTACCTTTGATTCCCTCACTAATACTCTGTCTGCAGACAAGGTGGGCTAGTATCTTGTATTGGACATGCAATGCAAAGAGTCCAATGTTCTCAGAACCTCTTTTAATCTGGGAGAAAGATCCTGGAACTGGTAGGCTGCAAACACTCATCAGGATTGAGGTCAACCTAAACCCCTTCTAGGTTCATCCATGACTGCCTCACTGGGATTTGGTGACACAATAAGGCACTGATTTCACTTAGAAAATTAGATTGGTGTTTATCCAACTCAAAATTCTTCCCATAACAGATTCTATATCCTACAGATACTTTACTGTAAAATGCTTGCTAACTGGTATTAGATGATTTCAGTCTTTCTCCACAAAATTTCAGCTGACATAAAAAGGCCTACAATTCTGCACTGGAAATGGCAGAATTTAGATAAAGACCTCATTTCACTAAAACGTGACATGACTAGGATTGAATTTGAATTGCTGATACAATATTTCACTGTCTGATACTCTGAAGTCAAAGGCAATCATTCCATGGAATCAAAAAATGAGAAGAAAAATTACTTAAAAATTCCTAAAAGATATAAAGTACATTTTTAAACTATTAATAGCTGTCCCACCAAATGGATGTGTTGGCAAAATTTCTGCAAATGCAGTATCTGTAAGGGGGGAAAACTTTGAAATAATTTCCAATTTCACCAATTTAGTTTCATAGTTTATATTGCTAACTCGAATAAGAAAAGAGTTGTTCTCCAAACACAATTACATGCTTCCCTCCTTGTATGAGTGGAATATATCCAGTATCAGGCAAATAAGATAAATCATAGTATAAATATTAGTAATGTGGATAAACTTTAGCAGAAGATGGCACTACAGTAACTGAGTTTTATCAGTACACCAGTCTTGGAGCTTCAAGTGCAACTTCATAATATCATGTACAGATTATTTACACGAACCATCTGTATCCTGTCACTTACTGTAGTACAAAAGACTTAAAGGGAAAATTTTTAATTTGCATGTCAACAGTAATTATAATATCTGCTTAAAACAACCCCAGATCTAGCTGACACAAAAATACCAAAAATTACTACTGCCAAAGTAATGAAAACCACAAACGGATTTGATTAAAAAGCCCAGGAGAAGTAAAAAAAAAAAAAAAAAAAAGTGCTTTCATCAATCATAGGTGATATTCAGCACAAAAATTTCTCTAAAGCCCTGATGGTCTTAACCAAAACCTACCTTATTAGGAACACCTGCTCCATGGAGACCATCCTGATTTGGACAGAATTTACAAACAGTGCCAGTTTTTACATACATTAACTAGAAAATGTTAACAAGACTTCCAGTTTGTGGGGGCTTTTTCCCCATTAGAAACAGTTGCTTAAGAAAAGGAAAACCAAAACCAATACAAATAAACATATATACAAGAATATGATCTACAACAAATATTTATATTATTATAAAGCACCACAGTGAAAGCACCACCACCATTTACAGAAGCAGATCAAAACAGACTAAAGGACATTAACATAGATGGTGTTCTGTCGTATCAGACATCTTATTTCATGGCTCATGCCCATTCAGGCAAACAAAAAACTTGAAAAGATGTTAATTCCTAGGTGCTTTATAACAGTTCAACAAAATGCAGAGATGATGTCTAAACTGCTGATTTATTTTGGGCTTCTGGAGGTTGTAATTCTTTCTCCGCATATATATACTTCTAAATTTCAGTGTACTCCTCTGAGAGTGCAAGATGCAGTAAGCCATTTTTCAACTGGGAGGAGTTGACTAGTACCTGTCATCCTCCGGAGATGCATGCTGGATATGAATCCTGGGACTAGTAGGTCGTCTCCTCTCTAGGGAGGGGGACAATCTACTCCTGTTTGCCCATTCAATAAAACAGGAAAAAAAATACGATATTTAGTGTGTGATAAAATTAAATATATGGGATTTGGAACTGGAAAAATACACCAAAAAAGTAATGAAAGTCTGTAATTTAATTTTTTTAACAGCTTTCTAATACCTGAGTATACTCTTCTTAAAGTTGCTTACTACAGAAACATTATATCTGAAACAAAGAGAATGTATGCTCAAAGATGCAGAATTTAGACCAATATAAATCTTCTACATGGTGTACAATTAAGTTTTCAAATATTCCCAAATGCTAGACTATATAGAAGCCTGTCATTTGCATAGGAAGCTGCAATTCCAAACTAGAAGAGCTTTTCAAAGACCATTTGATGCTCATTTCCTCGTCATTTTGCTAAGCCCAACGCTCCTAGCTCTTTTCATACAGAAAAATGTAATCTCAGTAAAAATGCAGGACTATGAATTATAAGGAAAAATCTGAGGCATAAAGTCACCCTTTTCTGGAATGCAGTGAAACAGTACAGGTAAATTACTTAGCTACAACTAAGCTACACACATTTATGTACAAGTACTTGGGTAATCTTTTATCATTTGAAAATATATATTGAAAGTGTGTGCAGCCAACTTCCTCTTCTGTCCATTTCTTTTTATCCCCAAAGTACTTGCCATTATGTTACATAATTAAATTTAATAAAAAGGACCAGAACTGAGAATGAAAACTGGTGTATCACATGATTTCTTTTCTTGAAAAAGCTCATTTAATTTAGAATTATATATATATTATATTACAGACTCATGTTGCTTATTCTACTGGGATGTTATGTATTCGTAACAGTACAACTAATACAACAATCTTAAAATATACTGGTTTATTGGTGAATAGCAAAATCTTTACACAAACTCTGTACAACTATCTAATATTTCCCTTTCTGAGGTATTTTTCCAGTCCATGCAATAAGGAAAAGGGTTTGATTTATGGAACATGCAAATAACAAAAATTTCAGGGACATTAGCATTATTTGAACAGTTAGATAGGCCCTTCAGAAGTTTTAAGAGCAAATAAGTTGTTAGTAATCAGTTTCTTTTTCTCTCCAAAGCAAGGGTTAAAGAAAATGTTAATGCATCAGTGCACTCAGTCAAAGCCCTTAATATGCTGATATTCTCTACAAATCTTAAAGAGTATTTGATAGCATTAACTAGGTCATTGAATATGAGGTTTGAGAACATGCTCCCTTTCACTAAATGTTGAGTGACTGTGAGCCAAAGTACAACACAAACATATAATAACCTACTTCTTTACATGGTTGAAAAGAACTGGAAACACAATATACGGCAGATCTAATGCAAACAGTTATTACACTGTACGTGATTTTAAATGTAAATGGAGATATTCAACACAGCTGTGAAAGGCATGCAACATAAAAGTCAACATGAAATCAAGACTGGCCGTAATTGGATCAAGGGGCAGCTTCAACTTCCCTGTTATCTATTTATGATGAGGTAATAGTTAATCTTTGTCTCTTGTTTAGGTGGCAGTGACCAGATGATAGCAAACATCCTGTTTTGCTTCCTGCTGCAGTAAAGCACCTCAGAACAAATCTGACACAGCTCTGGGGCAGGTATGCTGACCCTGTTGTACATGAACTAACCCCTGGGCTGTGCTCCTTGGTTTTATTTGTTCAGATCTCCACTAGCTAACCTCTCAGGCCAAAAGCATACAAAAAGTACCAGTCTATACAACTACTCATTTGCCAACTGCTAATACACACAACAATTGATTGTAACGTAAGTCATACTATATATTATTAAGTGAGTATCACTGACTGCAATCTTAAATCAATCTGGGGAAGATGCTATTATGATGAGAAACCATTGCTGAATGAGTTCAGATTATGCCCTTAAACCTCATGCCTAGGTGCTTTCCTGACTGGATGTTGTAAACAAATTTCTCCATTCTAGAGAAATAGCACCCAATTTACAAGGAAAAAAAAGCAGAAATTTTGAGACACAGTGAAAAGAACAGTAAAAAACCACCCCATACTAAAGGAAGTAGTAGCAGGAAGAACATTTTTAATGGCACTAGAGGACATTTATGACTATATTACAAACTTAAATAAGCCCTGCAGATCATCATAGGAACTTCAACAACACAGTCAAAAAACCCACACAAAACAGCTTGGAATAAATAGGGGGATGTGGCATGAAAGGAGGGAAGAGAAAAAAAAGGTAGGCATGATGCAGTTGCATAGTGGTATTTGTAGGGGCTGGATATTTTTGAGTGTCCTAGAGTACAGTGTGTAAAAGAGAAGTATATGAAGGATTAAGCTCTGTTCCAAACCAGTCCATTTACAAAAAAACTTTGGCAGCCCTTGTTAAGGCAAGGTCAGTTTGCCATGCAAGTTGTATGGATGTTACTTGATCAAATGATGGAACTTGAAGAAGGAGACAAGGATTTTTTGTTGTTGCTTTGGTTCTGGTTTAGTGCAACTAACAAGACTTGTATACCACAAATTCATGTATACAGCTGAAAGTATTTTTCTACTAGTAAAATGGGTCAATAAAATTACTTTTACTGGCAAAGCAGCATCTTAAAAACCAGTAACTACTCTGACCCTTCCAAATTACATGAATGACTTTGTAGAGAGTTCAAGGATTAAAACCATTTCCACAAATCAGTGACACAGAGAAATGGGGCTCTACTGTCCATTGGTTACACACAATCAAATTAACCATTTTGTTAAAAAAGGATTAGGTGGTCCATTTTAGCTTCTGATCTCAAATGCAATCTAATTTATATCCTCTGAGACTCCTAATTTTGTTGAAGAAAATATATAAAGCCATATTTAGAAGTCTGTATTTTGAGGCATAAACGTCTAAACTTTTAAACAAAATCTACAATGACATTCATGGAGGGGAGAGAAGAAACACCATGCAAACAACTAACAGTGACTTCAACAGAAGTCCCTCAAATATAATGATAATAAAATGGTGCTGTAGATTGGACTTCACAAAACCATGCATCATTTCTCTTTGCTACAAGCAGGTCCAACACTACACCTGATGGTTGTCTCATCTTTGCTTAGTCTCCAGTGATGAAAACGACCTTTGCCATATCATATATTACAGTATTTCATCATACCTGCTTTCAAAAAAGGTTTCCATGAGCTTAAGAACTTGTTTTACAGTATTTTAAGTCTTCTGTTCTCATCTTGTCCAGCACAAAACCAAAATGCTTTCTGTCCTGAACTTAATTCTGTTCTTCAAACTAAAGACTCCTCTATTACTACACGCAACTGCTGACTAACCGCATGTTAAAGTATAAGCAGGTTCCACATTCTACAGTGGAGAATTAAATCTTCTAAAATTTGCTTCCAGCAAAACAAATATAATAATTACATGGGTTTCATGTTTTTCAATGTAACATCTTCCTCCAAAACTTGGGCTGTACTGGAAAAACATCTTCTATGTCAGAAGAAAGGAAAAAAAAAAGTAAGTCCTTAATCCTCTGCCAAAGCCACACAGATTTTATTATTTTCAATGAAAGCATCAAGAAAAATCTGAATATGAAATTACTAAAAAAGATCTGATAAAGGATCCCAAGTCAAAAGCACCTATTTAGGCCTTCTAAACGCTAAGAAAAACTTTCATAGTGATGGGCAAGTTTTCTGGATCAGGTCTACTGATGATGACAAAACCACATTTAGTAGCAATAGAGGCCATTAATAGATACTAAACACTTTTCATTACGAAGAGATCACGAAAACTGTTTCAGATTCTGCACAGTGCCATTGGACAGAGGTTGCTGGACATGAATTATAAGGACATAACAGAACTAGTTAACATCAATAGTAGATGTAGTTTTGAGTATAAGATTTTAACTAGGTAGTTTATAATTGCCAGTTACTGTTTCACTGAATATTCAACTCGATGGGTGGCATCTCGAAATAAGTATAAAACATACTGCTCATGTCCATATGTTATAACATTAAATAACTGCTTTTAGATTAATGCAGTTGTATATATCTACACAGTTATTAATATGACAATACAATTTTTTTTTTAACTCTAGAACAACACCCTGTTTTTCATTCTGAGTGGCTTTACTTCAGTTGAACTTTTTTCTTGTTTTTTTAATAACAAGATGTTCACAATTATCTATAGTGTCTTGAGCTCAGTCTTAAAAAGGAATGAACTACTGCAGATCCATCAGAGTTATCTCAGCAGAGCATTAGTCACTCCTCTGCAACAAAGGAACAACTTGAAAAGAGCACAGTTCTAGCCAAGGAGCAGTAGGAACTGAAGAGGAAGGAAAGGGAAATTTCAAATGAAAAAAAAACAACCTAGCTCAAAGAGAAAAGTGCATTCTTAGTGCCTTTCTTCACATGTTCTCTCCCACAATAAAGAAAATTATGTAACTGCTACAACCATCATACCGTGAGTTGACTGGCAAAACATTATTAACTGCCACATTAGTTAAATATGTATTGCACAGATTAAATTGTGATTCCATCCTATTCCCACTCAAAGGGAGCCTATTATAGCCCTTAGTGGATGTAAAATCTCACTCTAAAATGGTATAATTCTTAGCCAAAAACAGGTGATTATGAAAATTCCCTTGTGGAATCATTCCATTCATCAAATACACCAGCAGTATTTGATTTACCTAAAAATTTGAACCAAGCTATTGTAATAGTAAAAATACAGAAAGCATCCATAACATGCCTGCACAAGATATGTGACACAACAATATTTCATATAAATTGCAAACATGTCTTCTTAAGACTTCTGTGAACCTTAATGTCATAGAGTGAAAAAAAACCATAATGTAGTGATTTGCCTTGTAATCGCAAAAGCAGATGCAGCAGATTAGATTAGGAAAGCAATGAAGTTTGGCTGATTTGTAAAAAACATATCACTAAACAAACTGCAGCTCTGGTTTGAAATACGAGAGTTTTATCATAATTTATAATTTATGCCACTGCTTTATTAGCAGTCCACAGAACAATCAAGAAACAAATATAAAACTTTTTAGTAGATGATGATGAAGATTCACAACCAAGTGATAGTTTCAAAATACTTAACACTGCAATGCTATTATCAGCATACTGAGGACTTTTGTAAACAATGAACACCAGCTTGAACTAAAACAAGGAAAATAGCCAGAAGCAGTTATAAACTCGGACACACAATTTACATGACATACATGAATATAGGAGCAAAAATGTCTACAAATACCAAAGCAGACAAGAATGTACAAGAATGTAGAGTACTCATATGAAGAAAAACAAAACTGATAAAGATCACCAGCACAGATGACAAGAAATTCATAAGTTTTTATTTTATACCTTTCTCGTTCTGGTGAATGCAAACTAGTATCTGGTCTCAAGCAGTTGGTACTAGCACTCCTAGCCCTGTCAAGGGAGGGCTGCAGTTCACTAGTGCCAGTGCATTGCATCCAATGGTAGAAGAGAAAGAAAAAGAAAACAAAGAAAGGAATACAATGTTAGATATTAACTCATAAAATAATGCTCTCTTTACAGAAAATGTAGGATCACAATGATTTAATTAAGGAAAACATAAAAAAGGCTGACTGGATGATAGCGTCAAGATTCGTTTCAAAAACAAAAGCAAACAAAAGACTGCTAGAAATTTTTTGCAAAGATTGTTGAAATGTTTAAAACTGAATGAGACAGAACAGCATCTGCTTGTAAGAAAAGTGGAATGAGAAATACCAAACAATAAATTTAAATCCTTATTAACAGCAGTAAATATTAAGCCAACATAAAAGAATGTGATACACTATATGTCATGTGAAGTCCCTTTACAGTGAAGCTTATTTACTCTGCAAATCCATATTAGATACCAAACAAGGGGGGGGATTAATCCTGAGTTTCTTACCTAACTGGCAGATCATCTCCAAATTTCGATATTCGTGAATTAAGGCAATCATGAAGGAGTGAAATATCCTGTCTAATCACGGATTTGGTCTTAGCACATGCAGGAAGAGTTGAGCTTTGTAAATTAAATCGTTTAAACAAAATGAAAGTAAATTGGATATGTAACAGAAATTTCATACATAAACAAAAGAATGTAACAAAGAAAACCATGAAACATAAAATTTTAACAGCAAAGACAACTCCACCTAATAAAAAGTTGCTTGGTTTGGATTTTTTGTAATGTTGGCATTAACTTAAACAATTATATGATGTTATTTTAGGATTTGATCCCTTATGTCTCAGTTACAAAAATGTATGAAACATTTTGTGTTTGGGTTTTTTTATTATGTAATAAGTCTACTAATTTTTTTTAATAAAAGGAGCTTTAAACTCTAAAGGAGTTTAAAGGGGACTCTAAACACTTCTTACCTGTACAAGTTCCAATGAGTACCATTTTCTAGTAAAGGCATCTTGGGTGGTAATGTTTTATAGTGCCTAACAGAACTTCTTGAATGTGGTGGGACAGAAAACAGAACAAAAAAAAACATGCCAGAAATAAAAAGACAGATAAAGGCAAGCCAAAACTGACCAGAATGTAAAATAAATGCATAATATTCTATTACATTTTATACTTGTCTGAGTACTTTTCTCAGTATATGTTTTTTTCAGCTACTGTGACAGCTAACTGGAGGACAAATTTTTGTATCTACACTTTTAATACAGTGGATGAACTCATAGCAATAATAGTACAGCTGAGATGTTTTCCTGAAATGAAGGTAATCTAAATTCCATTTATAGATATTTTTAATTAAAATATACAGGCTACTCTGAAGGATTAAGTTGATATTAAATTTGCTCTTTATTCCTCTAAGTGATGCCTTACTTCGACCTACAGAGACTTTAACATCTCCAGTAGCTAAACATGAAAATCTTGCTAACACAGGGATATACAGTATCACAAATTTAACTAGAGATGTATTAGCATCTGGCTTTTTGAATGTGTAAATCTTTCGAAAGTTAAACATCAAAATTTACCAGTAATTAAATGTCATTAATAATAAGCTAATTAAAAAGCTTAGGAGATCTACTACATCAGCCAGCACAGCAGCACTGAGGTGTTACATGACAACTGTCTAAGGTCATCTCAGATTTTAGAACAGGAAATGTTTCCTTTATCATCCAGCTCTACCCAGTGAACAAGGGGGAAATTTAAAGGAAGAAAATGGCTGCTGAATGGGAATTATGGCCATTTAATGGTTAAGGGTTAATAAGAAAATTCTAACAATTTTCCATATTCCCTGCCAGGACACAGGAGCTCTTAGGAGAAGAACCAGCAGCCTTGAGGATTTTGGAGCATCAAGAACAATCTGTCCCATTAGGACATTTTGTTTCCTGTTAAGGTTTGGACCTAGACACAGCAGATCGACATTACAAACCCAGCTGTGTCACAGACAGACGAATCAACTCTCTGCCTGGAAATCCTAGTGTTTGTAAAACCCTGAGGGATTTTATAGTGGAGCTTTGACCCTTCTCGTATGAATTTAGTGGCCATCAATGGTGACGTCTGTCAGAGGCGACTATTGTGTTGCAAAGGAGGACTAAAGGACGTCCATCAGGTCAATCATGGCATAGGAGCAGATACTACCAATCAAAGTAAGAGCGACCTGAGCCATGGAATGTGACAACCAATGGTCTACAGCAAAGGTACACACCTTTCCACCATTTCTGCTGTTAGTCAATAATTGCATACAGATGGACAGGATGGACAGCTTGGACTAATATTATTCCAAGCTGATGTATTAAACTCATCATATATCTTAACTGTGTAGCTTGGACTACTAAATTTCTTTCATTTAACATGAAACCATTAACATTTCTTTTCTATTTTATGCTGAAGCTATTTTGACTACTAACAAAGACATTATCCAGCAAGGTGTCTAGGAAATAAGGATAAAGCCTTATAATGTTTCTAACATGCATAAATGTCAGGCTACTAGAAATAAGCAAGGACAAAAGATGGCATAGAACAAATTTTTGCTGAAACTGTTTTTAAAAGTATTCAGTCAAGAATGGATATTGGCAATTTTGGGGTATTATTTGGGATTAGGCTTTGTAAGCCTCAGAGTTAAATTTTAAAAAAATCAATATATTGTCTTCTATTGTCTTTATATTCACCTACAATACATTATTATACGTACCATTCCCATTACTTTAAAAGGGTGAATTTATTAATTTTTTTGATCATTTAAAAAAATACCAATAAATGGAATAAGGAAAAAAGGTGAGCAAGGTCTGTACTCTCTGAATTCAGTGTAGCTCTTACCTAACTCTGTTGCTGCCCATGCACAACTTTTAGCTGGTTAACTCACCAGAATGGTTTAGTAGATTTGTAAAACTATTGGAAAGCTATAATGGTTGATCAAAGTTCATCAAAAGTTCATAATGAAATATTTACTTAATTAATTAAGAATTTAAGAATTGTCACTGAAAAATTCTAACAATTACAATCTTTAAGAGGGAAAGGAGAAAGCTCGGGGTTGGGGGCAGGAGGGGCGTGAAGCTATAGGATTTGCATCAGAAAGGACACAGGAAGGAGGCAGGGAAAACTGCTATTATATGACAATAAACACATAAAAAATAACAGGGAATTAAATAATTTTTTTAAAATTAAACACTAAAATCTTGAGGGAAAAGCCTTCTTAGCTGAAGCATTAGAATAAAAATCTTTCCACTGATAATAAAGACTTAAGTTTTAACACCTTCACTGATGAACAGATCTCATTGAAAAGTTTCATATTTATTATTTTAGCTTTATACTACTGTCCCTTAGAATCCTATGAGAGGATCTTCAATACTGTTTCAAATTTGATGATGAAAATTAAAGTAAGCCAAGGCCTACTAAAAAAAAAAAATCCCTTCCTTTGGAAGGGAAAACCCTACATTAAATAAATGAATAATGGCACTAGAAAACATATGTGTTTTTTTAAGTTTGATGATTTTAAACATATAGTAAAGCTTTTAGCAACACCCAGATCTTGAACAGACAAATGGATAACTACCTGGTTGAAGGAGTTAACTGCTTTAAATTCAACATAAATTTTTACTGATTCTAAATCAAAAATATTCTATTTTAGTAGCATTTTAATAATTCTATTTTAATAATGGCAACAGACATGGTGAAAAGAAATGGTGGGGGAGCAGAATTTGGTTTTTTAGATGAAGATATTTCAGTCCCGTTTAGTTTCACAATTTTGAGCTCCGAGCCTCGGAGCAAGAGATTAATGAAGACTGAAGATGAGCCCAAACTACAAAGTTTACATCTGGATCCAATTTATAGAACAATTTTTAGATGCAAAACAAGCAATACAGGACTCCTCAAAGCTGGGATTCCCAGTAAGGCCTTGTAAATCAATGTTTTTTCCTCTACATATGACTAAATCAGCACGAGATTAGGTGTCACAATAAGTAAAGGTTGTTGAATTGTGCGTGGCTGTAATATAAACACAAAAAGGCAAATAAAAGAAAACATAAAAACAACTAAACAGGAGTGTTTGAAATAACAATGCTGTCATGCATGCCTTGGGAGTTCAGGACTTTTGTGACTGCACAGAAAATCCATCACAAAATACAACTGCAAAACCAGAATTTCTTCAACTGCTTTAATCCTTACTACTGAGGTTCACAAACATATATACATGTTTCAATCTGAATTAAAACAAACAAACAAGATCAACTGACATCTGTGTCACAATGTACTTGAACGTTTTTTATTTACTGGGACTAAATACCACCATGGAAAAAAAATTTGGGCACACAGAGTATAGACAACTAACCAGATGTGTTCATGATCACCAAATTCCTGTATTTACCTGATGGTATGTAGGCACTCAGCACTTCTTCCTCGTTTTGCTCTGGGCAGCATAAGAAGCTCACTGCACAGACAGGATGGGTGGTGAGTGAAACAGATATAATTATGAAGCATTAGATGACATGGGTTATGCCAATGATACGCAAATGAAAACATAAAAAGAAGCAAGAAGCAACCACCCAGATAGATAGTCTGATAATATTCAAACTCCGACTGCACTTCTCAAAGAATATGAGCCAAAAAATACCTGTAATAACTACATTTTCAGCGAATTTCTTTTAGTGTGGCACCTACTTTTATGAGATTTCTCTTCAAAATTCAGAATTACTTTTTCAGAGCACTTAATGATGTAATGAATACATAATAAGGTTACAGTTTTCTAATAACCTCTTGTCTCATTTTGGAAAAAAAAGAAAGATGCTTGTTGTTTATTTCGTGTTGGGTTTTGTGGCTTTCTAAGCCACAAAATCATACATGAAAAAGATGAGGGGGTTTGATAATGACTTACTGCAGATCAGTTTATGGGAAGAGTAGCCAGTCACCCTTTTGGGAAAATCAAAAATATGTGTTCACTGGAAAAAATATGTTTTGCCAAACATAAATTCTGACTCATAGCTCTTGATTTTGTACTGCAATCCCAAAGAAACAAAAAATAAGCTCATCAGCCATCAGACTTTTTGTTTCTTACTGTTTCAAATTGTGGAAAATCAACTGTCTATTCTATTTTTCATTTACTGTAACCAAACACATACTACAGCCAGCAAGATGGTAAAATTAATACATATTTATGCCTGTGGTAAATATGACTATGACATGAAATAGCCCTTGAAATAATCTTGCAGATTTACACGCTTCAAAACAATCAGAAAGACCAAGCTCCAAACCTCCTAAGTATCATAAATATGAAATTAAAGGTAAACTTCACGGAAAAATGCTAATTTTCAAAGAAGCAGGGAATTCTATGAAGTACTATGGCAAAAAGAAGAGAGAAAATGTTAAAAAACAGATAAAGCAGTAGTTGTTCAATGTGGTTTATGCTTCATGCCTTTATAAAATGATCCATTTCATTGATGCAGTACAGCTAATATTTATCTAAAATTCTAAACTGGGCATCTTGAAATAATGGCTTGTGAGTCATGTGTGAGATTTAATTGCATCTGTAGGCACTAACCTGATTTTGATGCAACAAAATGAGCTAAAGTTGAACTGAATTTTTTAATTTTCTTTTTAAGTAAAGTTTCTGTTCACAAGCTTAGAGGACAGATAGAATTTAGAAGCAGGTTTCCAAATTACAAACCAATATGCATTTTAGGAAAAAACCTACTATTTTCTTAAGAGTTGTAAAGTAGGTGCAAAGTCTACATTAAATCATGGGGCACTTTGTTAAGAAAGAAAGAGTATCTATTGTAATTGGCCCACAGCAAACAATAATATAAAATTCATCCAGAAATAAATGCAAATAGCATTTATAATATAATAGCAAATCCACCATGAAATCTTCTAATTAAAAAAAAAACACAAAGCAAAGAATCCATCACAGCAGATTACCAATAATGTGAGAAGAGGCTCACAGTTCTCTAATAAATTAAGTTGGTTTGGGAGGCATTTAAAACAAAAATTATTATTCTAAAACAAGGGTTTTCTAACGTGAGCATTTTAGTACTCCCATTAACTGATTTTACTTAAGAATAAAAGAAACGTTAAACCAAAAAAAGTACCATGCTCTTGGAAATTGGACAATGATCCTAAATTCTGAACAAAGTGTCTAGCTAGATTTCCTAGCAAAAAGCTTTTACTGACGTTTATATATATATATACACACATGTGTGTAAATATGCATACAAACACATATGAAAAAGTTAAAGTGGACAAATTAGTTTCACTGGAAATTTATCACAAGAGAAGCATTTGCAAGAGAGTGATAATAACTATTTTTACAAATATGTATATTAATATAGAATATATTAATATTCAATATTAATTTTAGACCAATAAGAGGTCATTGAGAAAATTATCAAAACTAATCAACAACTGCAATTTCTGCCACGTAACTCTTGGGTGATTACTCAACTTTGAAACCAAGTTTATGTTAGGTATCTACGAGAATGTACTTGTTAGGATAAGGGTTCAGTAAATGGACAACATATAATGCCAGTACTACCCCTGATACTAATACAGAATGCTTAACTAAGATTTTTTAGAATTCTTGGATGTGACAGAGAATCTTCATCAGCTATCTGGTTTTGAATTTTCCTATGATGCTACTCTTATGTACTGAAAGCCAGCCAAACCTGCAAGATTTAAACAGCCTCCACAACTGAAGAAATCTTGGGAAAATGGCAAGTGGTAGACAAGATTATTATTCAAAGAGAGTAAGTACATGGCCCATCTTTAAATCTTTCAAATAAGTCATGTACATCCTTATGTCTGATCTTTAAACTTCTGAAAAAAGTTTTCTAAACACTGAAAAGAACTGAAGACTGTCTCCAAGACTGAACCAATCCAGCAGTCCATTGCTGCTGTAGCTCTGGTTTGATGGCTCATCCCCAAGAAAGCCTCAGTGTAAGGCCTGCTCCTCTCCAATCATAATTCATGCATATACCACCAGTTAAGTCATGGCTTGAGGCTTTACTGAAAGAAAAAATTCCAAACAGTTAACTGTCTATATTTATACTGACAACAGCTACTTTTTAAAGCCTCTTCTCCTAATCTGCTGAATAAGAAATCTATTAATTAAATATCATCAGGAATATCTTGACTATATGACTACTTGAAATAAACAATAAGAGAAAAACATTTGTGACAAGTAGATATTACTTGAATTAGTCTGACTAGAAATCTGACTACCATATTTAAAAAGCATTTTAATTCACCTCTGAAAGGAAATTCAGTATAATAATCCAGTTTAGTCAATTGTGTACACAATTCTTGCCTATGAAGTTGAATTTTTGAATGCTTCAAATGACTAATTCCCATACACATGTTACCATACTACAAAAGTAAAACAGGCAAGACCACACAGAAAACTGAACTAGTTTAGCTTCAAAAGCCATCTGTTATTCAATCTCTGTGTTGCTTCAAAACTGGACAAAGATTTCCAGAGATTTTTCTAATTTACCATTTACATGTTTTCACATCACTATGAAAAGCATGTTCTGTATTGAATTTTCTGGATCATTTGGAAAGGTTTTGTCATCAGTTATAAAAAGTAGTTCCTTACTGCCAAGAAAAAAACTCAAACATTCTACTAGAATAACTGATCTTATATGAATGGCCAAAATTGCCATTATAGTCTAGCAATATGAATTTTTTTTTAAGTAAACAACAACCCACAAACATTGATACTCTACCTGTCGTTTCACAGATACTGAGCTGAAATACCTTTTAAACCTTTTTGTCAGCTATAAACTAAACAAAAATTCTTATTTCTTCCATTTTATCTGAATATTATTCCTAGATATCAGAAAATAGTGCCTACTAGGAGAGCCCAAGTATTCTCTGAGGAGTGTAGCCACACAGTGTATTCCAGGGAGAGATCTGTATGTGTCACGCATTTTAGACTGGAAATTTCTGCAAATTACAACCAGCACTGCAACCATCCTTGCTATGCTTGGGTACTACACAAAGTTCACCAGGATATTACATAAAAAGCTGCATATATAGATGTCCAAAATCTATAAGCATATGGATGCAAATCAGAGCACATGCAGCTCCCAACTAGTAAGAATGCACGCCTGGTATCTTGCTGGCTACCAAAACTAGTAAATTCTAACATATTACAAGAATAGCTAGGGCATACATGTAGATTTATGGCTTTCTACTAAAAATGTCTAGGCTTCATTCATGAAAAAGCAGTAGAATACTCTAGGACAAACACCCAAGGATCATTATTCTAGATACATGCTATTATTGTCAACCCAGTGCACAACTTTACCAAAAAAAAGGTATCAAGAGTTTAATGACAGCACTACATCCATCAGTTAGGATGAGTTCTCTCCCTTCCCCATTGCTGTCAGTCATATTTCTAATGAAAACTTGAAAATTAGGGAAACCAACAAAGACATTTCTAAATTTTTTTCCAAGTTTAGGCTGACAGTGTACCTTTCTTGATCCGACAAATACTGACTATCCAACTCTCTGGACCTATAATCAACTGGAGTTCTGGAGGCATCATGGTGTCTAGTTGGAGAACGTGATCTTCTCATTTGATGAATTTCATCTAAACTCCTGAAAGGCAGAAATATGTATGATGATCTTGTTTTCTAATGAATAACACAGCTTAATGGATTGCAGTACAAGTTGGTTGAAGGAAGTTTTTCATCATTAAATTGCTAATACATTTCTAAAAGAATGCCTTTAAAAATTATATAATTTGTACATACCATTATTTATTATCCTACAAATATACTTAAGTGGCTTTACACAACATTCAGCCACTCACTGAAAAGACATTTCCAAACCTATGTATTAGTTATGGTAGAGAGATGACGAATCACAAAGTATCAGTAAGAGGAGGTATCTTACAAAGTTATGATTCAACCCATGAGTGCCCTTGAATAATTAATAAAAGCATATATCAAGTTCAAATACTGCACTATTTAATTCAATATAAATATAATTCAAATAGTTCAAATACTGCACTATTTAGTACAAAATAAGCTTTAAAATAGTGAGAAATTGCTGAACAAGACAAAATTTAATAATGACAGATCACACAAACTTGCAACTACCTAGTGTTTCATTAATTTGTGATGCCTACCTCTGTAATGGCACATTTGGTAAACGTGAACGGGGCCTGCCCTGATCGTCGCCACGGTGAGGAGACACAGAACGTGAACGATGATGTGTTGTTCTTTGCTGCTCTGGCACAGTTAGCGTTGTGGATTTACTTTCTCTAGTACTAGATCTATAACCTACTGGCAAGAGGATAACGAAAGGAAATTAGGCAATAAAGGTCTGGGTTTGGAAAGAATTCAGATGGTTAGTCTTCCAGGAGCACATATCTAAATGCTTACACAACTTTCCAGTCATCATTCAGCTATTGTACATCCCAAGGTATCATGCAGGATAAACTACTAGCATTACCTTTAAATGTCTACATTGACAGAGACTGAAAAACTAAGATGTTTTTATTATGTATTGGAAGATGTGGAGGAGGGAACTGAAATAGTTTTCTGACTTGGGAAAGAGTACCTCAGGTACCCTGTAGTTCAAAAACTGTCATACAGTTTATATGTATAGCTAGTTTATATATAGCAAATATTTGAAAGGAATCTAAACAATGTAGGTTTGCCTCATTTAAAAAAAGGAAAAAGCACACTTGCATAAGACAGCACAGACTCACACAGGATTGCTCATATATAAAGCATCTTTCTGCCTCTAGTTTCAGTTAAATACAAAGATGTTCTCCTACTGAACCTGGCCAAAGCCGCGTGCCTAAAAAAAAACTAGTAGCATTTAGAGTATATTATACAGAATATTGGGTGTTGCAAACTTTGCAAATATTTTTTTGAAATATTATGAATAGGTGGCAAAATTTCTCGTAGTTCATTTTTACATAGGACTGTCCTGATTTCAACTAGGGTGGGTTAATTTCTTCTCAGTAGCTGTTCCAGTGCTGTATTTTGCATTACAAATGTGAACAGTGTTGGTAAGACATTGATGTTTTGGTTTTTTCTTAAGTTGTGTTTTTCCTAAGTCAAGGACTTTATTTTCTTGTTTCATTGTCTGCCAGTGAGGAAGTACTCAAAAGAAACTGGGAGGTAGCATAGCTGGGACAGGTAACCTGAACTGACCAAAGGGATATTCCACACCATAGAATGTCATACCCAGTATATGAACTGAGGAGAGTTACCTGGAAAGAGAGCCAGGTTTGGGAAGTGGGGTCTGGCATTGGTCAGCGGGCAGTGAACAATTGCATTTCGCATCACTTGTTTCTCCTTTTTTATTATCATTATTATTATTATTTACCATTATTACTGTATTTTACTTTATTTTCAACTATTAAACTGTTCTTATCTCCACATAAAAGTTTTAGATTGATTCTTCTCCACATTCCAACGAGGTAGAGGGATAGAGAGGAGGAGGGGCTGTGTAGTGTTTAATTTCCAGCTGGGCTTAAAACATGACAGGAACTTTTTAAAAAATCAGCAGGATGTTAATACATTTTAAATAATTGATATTGCTGTGCCTTTTTCTGTGTAGCATGCCTTTCTGTATATTGTGAATCCCATCCTAAAACAGACCATGAAGCTCAATCAGACAACAGCTATTAAAAGGTAACTCTTATCTTTCCGAAAGAGCCTAAGGAGATCTGCTCAGACTTCCCTTGCTCACTTCAAGACATTTAAATTACATTACAAGAATCCCTTGACAGAAAATCCCTTAATGATAGAAAAATTCATCCCTTAAGTCATCCTTTAATTACTTCAGAAATTCTTGTTTAGATTCCAGAATAATCATTTTGCTCCTTCTCTGAATTTATCTAGCATTAACATTCCTGTAACATGTTATTTTGTTCAGTTCAAAAAACAGCCTATATCAGAAATCATCCTTTCATAAAGAAAAAAAAGACTATGAATTCATCACTCAGTTGCTAATTGGATAAATAAAATAAGTTGTACTTTTTATGGATCTGGTTATAGAGTTTAAAGTTTGAGGGTTTTATAATTTTTCATATAATTTGTATAATTCTTGTAGTTCTTCTCTGATCTTCTATCAAAATATTAAAGCCCTCTTTTAAAAGTGTGGCCCATATACAGAGTCTGTATCAGGCTTGATCATGTATTCAGTGAAATGTAATTGCTGTTTAGCTGAAAGTCTGAACCTTGATCATAAACATCAAGGAAGCAATCACACTTCTTTCCCAAAATGTGCATCAGTCTACCAATGTATTCTAATGGCCTGTAGAAGCTGACAACATGCACGAAAGTATCTACTGAGGTTTATTAACCTTTTAAAAAAGAAGGACATCAATGTTTGACAGGTTTTGATGCATTTCAGAGTTCTCTAACGGAATTATAAAGAAACATGGGGATCACCCTGATCTCAGGACAAGGTTTGGGTGCAAATATTGAAGCAAAAAAGTGACTCTATCAGGACTTCAATAGAGATTCCCTCATCTCATGTACTAAGATTGCTGCAAAAAATGTCCAGGTTTTTTGTCAGAGGAAAAATGACTACACATGACAAAAGCTGGATGTGTTCCCTTTCCCAGGATGCCTAAATGTAAGTTGTATGTGTTCATTTTCCAAACAAGCTTATGTTAGAGAAAATCCTGTCATCTCTATCAGAAGGACAGTACTTTATATTTGTTCAACGCTAAAATCAAAGAAATCCTAAACTTCTTTTCAAGCTTAAGGAGACTGTACTGAATTATATATAATTTAAATATAAAAAAATACATCTAGATTTCAATTTAAAACATATTTCTAGAGTATTTCAAGTCTGCTTAAAAAATTACACCTAGGATTATCCTGTGCACTTAAAAATGTGGTACAGCAAGATGATTTTATGCTATACACACTTCACAGCCAAGCTATTTAGGGAACAATACCTTAAACTTCTGCAGTGTGTGTACACAAAGCTTACAGAACAGATAGAGCAACAGCAATTCATACTTATCCTAAGTATTAGCTCAAGTATTGCCAGGTTGGTCAAATCACATCCATACTTCCACAGTGACCATGACAGTGACAGCAACAGTAACATTTCCTGATATCCTCAGATATAAAAGTTCTGTGCTCTTCAGGGTGAGCAGAGAAAAATTTTGCATGGACCAGCATGACAGCAGCAATCAAGCTTATGATAGTTTATGCAGAAGTTTCTCAGTTGCTCATGGGAAACTGTCAGGTGTGATAGGAAATGAATACAGGATGGATGATGAAAATGGTTCTAGCAAATGTTTGATAGCAGAATTATTTTAATTTCCTTAAAGACAAAACAGACATCGACAAGGTATTGTGTTAATGTCACCCTGCTGCTAAAGGAGGCAGGTAAATATAATCCAACCATTTATACAAGTTACAAATTATAGAAAATAAACTATTCTGAAGAGTTATCCATAATATAAATAAGATACTTATCAGAAATACCTCTTGGGATACTGCCAGTTGGATATCAACTTTTTTTCATTTTAATTAAGAAAGCTACTAAAGTTTTGGTTAAACAGATAGGCCTCAAAACATGTTTGGGTTGTATTAAATCCTTTACTGACCCTTCTGGAGTATTGGGCTGCTCAGTGCAACACAGGCACAGAGTAACTGGTGTAAGACCAGCTCAGGATCATAAAGATGCTTCAAGAACTTGAGCATCTGTCATATAAGAAGAGGTTGAGAGATTTAAAATAATATTTTCTTCAAGTAAGTAGAGGTTAGCATACCACAAAAAACCATCAAAATCACTTTTGTTAAAGCAGAACTTCAAATTAAAGTTACTCTTAGCTATTGATATAAACTCCTTTTAAAAACAGTTCTATGAGCTGATTAAAAAAATTATATGTATATCACTGAAAGATACTAATAATAAATGAGGATAGTACAATTACATGAAAGATAAGATATATTTGTGATTAAGACAAGGGGAAAATACTTTTCTTCAAATATCCTAGAAGTTACCAAAGTGCCACTATTTTTGACATAGCATTCTTTACTTCCATTGACAAGCAATGGTTCTTTGCAGCTGCTGAAACCTCTAGAAAAATAGTTTTCTTTGCTATTACTAAATTCTAATACTGCATTTACTTTAGCAATTCATAAAACATTTGAAACTATTGTTTTAAGAATTTCCAATTTTAGTTAAACAGGCCAAAATATTTTTATCATTAATTTCTTTAGTTTTCCTGGAGATGAAGTGAAATTTTGGAGTTATGTGTTAGTTTTTTAGAAAATGAGCAACAACCTTCGTGAAAATCTTGAGAAATTAAGGGGCAAAATAACTTCCTTCTTTTCTCAATATTTCAAAAAAATATAAATTAACAACTTTAAGGCAGATTCTTCCTGACTAACCTGATCTCCTTGTATGACAAGGTCACCCTCTTAGTGGATGAGGACAAGGCTGTGGATTTCATCTGCCTAGAGTTTGGTAAAGCTTTTGATGCTGTTTCCCACAGGATCCTCCCAACAGAAACTGGCAGCTCATGACTTGGACAGCTGCACTGTTCATTGGGCAAAAAATCGTCTGGAAGGCTGGGCTCAGACAATGGTGGTGAATGGAGTTACATCCAGCTGGTGGACGGCCACTAGTGGAGTTCCCCAAGGCTTAGTGTTGGGGCCAGCCCTGTTTTATGTCTTTATTAATGATCTGGACAAGGTGATTGAGTGTACCCTCAGTCAGTTTGCAGATAACACCAAGTTGGGTGAGTGTCTTGATTCCTGGAGGGCAGGGGACAGAGGACAGCCTGGATCCATGGGCCGAGGCCAACAGTATGAGGTTACACAAGGCCAAGTGCACCTGGGTCACAACAGCCCCATGAAGCACTACAGGTGTGCGGCCGAGCAGAAAAGGACCTGGGAGTCTGGTTGATAGCCAGGTTAACACATGCCAGCAGTGTGCCCAGCTGGCCAAGAAGGCCAAAGGCATCCTGGCCTGTATCAGAAATAATGTAGCCAGCACGACCAGGGCAGTGATTTTCTGCCTGTACTCAGCACCAGTGAAGGTAGTGCCTCAAATCCTCTCTTCAGTTTTGGACCCATCACTACAAGATAGTAGTTGCCCAGAGAAGGGCAACAAAGCTGATGAAGGGTCTAGAAAGTAAGTCCTATGAGGAGCAGCTGAGGGAGGCAGGAATGTTTAGGCTGGAGAAAAGGTTCAGGGTGACCTTATTGCTTTCTACAGCTACCCAAAAGGAGGTTGTGTTGAGGTGAGGACTGGCCTCTTCTCACAGGTAACAAGTGACAGCCTAAGAGGAAATGGCATCAAATTGTGATAGGGAAGGTTTAGACTAGATATTAGGAAAAAGTTTCCCCTGAAAGGGTTGTCGAGCACTGGAACAGGCTTCCCAGGGAAGTGGTGGATCACCATCCCAGGAACTCTTCAAAGAGCATGTGGATGTGTCACTGAGGGCATGGTTTAGTGGTGAACACAGAGGTGCTGGGTTAACAGTTGGACTACATGGTCTTAGAGGCCTTTTCCAATTTTAATGTTTCTAACATTCTGAGCATATACCTTTAATAAAGACAGAGCTTATTTATTACATATATAAGCACAATGGTGGGTGACATTGACAAAAAAGTGGTAAAGGAAGGAAAAGGGAAATATTTAAAGGGAAATATTTTATTTCATGTCACATTTTTTAAACTCAGATTTGACATCTGTACTTCTGTTGAGAAGGAACATCTTAATCCTAGACTAATCTAGTTGAGGCCAATAGAGGCTATGCCAAAATGGTGTGTCACCATACTACAGTGTGGATATTCACCCTTCCTTCCCACATGCATACCTTGCAAGAGGATGCATGGGAAATCTGAACCAGACAAGAGCTGGGGTGCAGACTGGTGAGGACCATGGCTTTGAAGGGCAGTAGAAAAGCAGGGGTAAAGGCCCTGCAACACGACAAGGAACTTTCATGGAACCTAGTTTTAACAGAGGAGACTGTTAAATGCAGAAGATACTGTACTACTCATTCAGTGCAAATGAAGGTAGCAGTCCAAAGTCTTGATGATTTAGCAGTGTGATAAAAAAGGAAAGTTGGACAGGAGGGTAGAAATGCATATATAAACTTGATCTCCAGTCACTTTTGCGAATCTGTGCCTAAGAGTTTCAAGCAATTCAACAGACAGTGGGACCAGCAACCTTTTCTAGGTCTTAATGCAAAAACACATTTACATATGCCACCTTGGCTGTTGTATATTTGTGGCTGATGACTCAAATTTTCTTTGCCCCTGTGTGCCTAAAGTTTAACATCGTTTTAAGAATTCAAGGTGGACTGGCAAACAAAACTCCCACAGTCCTATCTGTATCCACTTCACATAGGAATCACAAACAGATGAACTTCACTTACAATTGCTGAAAAAATGTATTCATTAAACTCAAAATGGACAAATTTGTGCTTGGTCAGGTCAACTAATAGAATGCTTCTGATTAGGTGGACTTCAGAAGGAGCTTCCTCACTAGACCCTTCGATTTTCAGTTTGGAGATTCTCAGCTCATTGTAAATCCTATTCTAAAGATTAAATCCTGCTCTTTTCTACAGTGATCTCTGAGAAAGCTTGAATACTTGCATTCATCAAAGGCACACCTGAGCATAAAGTCCCAAGAAATTTCAGTAAGGATCAGTTACTCAAGTGCTGACCCAATATATTGAACAGAGTCCAATATATTCAGCTGAATAATTTTGAATGTTTCCTGTCAAATGGAAAATTATTTATTTCAAATGGATCTATTGAAGGACTGGCAGGTGAAAAAACACCCCTGTTCATAATACACTAAAACCTTAAATGTAAGTAAGTCTTCAAAGATATGCCATATAGACTACATTGTTAACTACAGAAAAAAAAAAAAAAAGGAAAAGAAGGAAAAATATTATGAACCTATCATTTATTTTCATTTTAAGTGTTCACTCTCTCTGCTGATGCAAAAACATCAAAACAAATATCATAACTAGACATACATGAACAAATTTCTCTCTTAGCAACTCAGGTGCTAAATGTATAAAATTAATGAAAGAACCCAATCAGCATCAAAGGAAGGAGAATTTGGCTCAGTAAACATCAAAATGATACTGCATTAAAAATATATGTGATTTATTTGTCTGGTTATATAATGGATAAATAAATTGTGATATTATTTTAAACACAGATAGAGAATTTTCCAAATCCCAACATGATTTAATTCGGTGAATTAAATTCCACAGAAACTGATTTAGTACTGGCAATGAAATAGTGACTCTTCAGTTAGCTTGGGACAATTGGGAAACATATTTATCTGACATGTGGCAACAGTCAAATTGAACTAGAAGAATGTGGTATCCAAGATAATCCTCAAGATTTTCAGTATGGAAGGAATGTTGAATTAAAAGTCAAACCATGACAGTCTCTAAAAGTATATATTTATGAACATTTAGGGTAATGATAGTTCATGAAGGCTTATGAAAACTAGAAAAGATACAGCCATGCTACATGCATCTTAATCTACAGCCATGCATTATCAATAAAGTCCACGAGAGACTACATTAAATCTAATTTTCAAGCAAAAAGTAAAATAACAAAATATGCTTTCAATAAACACTGAAATATTAATTCTTATTTTAAAATGTGCGGGTTTTAAAATTTAATGTATATTTTAAATAATGCTTGGAGCATTATGCAGTAAAAAATTAAACAATTTGGATGACTCAGTGCTTCACATATTAAGCATGATATGTAAAAGAAATATAAATGAATGAATAGTAGAATCTTTTAATTCTCCACGATTTAGGTCAGGTACCATGGAATAATCAGGAAAACTGTTTCTTTTCACTATGCACTCTCAGAAACCAGTATCCTCAATATTCCAAAATGTGGTAAAGAAACAAAAACAAACAAGCAAAAAAAGAAGAAGAATAAGAAGAAAGCAGGACCATGCTCTTCACCCACGCACCTGGAGGAACAACTCCAATACCATCATCAACATCATAATCTGAGATGTCACTATCACTGATTGGCCGAGATCCTGCACAACAGTAAGGTAAACAAATACCTGAACATCTGGTCATATTATAAAATGTAAGAATATGTTCATTTAACATTTTACTGAAACTAAAAAGATGATTTTAAGTCAAAATAATAGAGAAGGAGGATTAAACTGCAGTGACTAATTGACATTTCACAAGACAGCTGTGCCAATTTAACATTTTACAGCTGCTGCAGCCTCCTTTCCCTTTATCTTTCCCTCAAGTCCTCAGGATAACTAGGATAGTTTATCTCACTAAGCCTATAGAAAGCGAAACTCAAATAAAGGAAAAAAATCTCTTTTGTGCTATTTCTGTGAATAAGCTGAATCAGCTTGTTGAACAGGAAGGGAGATGAGGCAGCATATGGTAAGAGAGGGGAAGCGGAAACAGCACTGCCAGCTTTTAGAAAAGCTCAAATATATCATGAAAACTAACCTTTAATTTGCTCTGTCTATACATATCCTCTGTTTGGACATGCATGCAGCAATTACAGGAGTATGATATATTTATAATTCATTCCTGAATGTGCACCGATTTCCTACATATTGGCTGGAGTGAATGACTTCCATGTTTCAGAAAAATCAGAGAATAGCTTGAAAATGTATTTCAAAATAATCCCCTACACCCTTCATATACCTAAATAAATCTTAATTTAAATTAACAGAGAAGCTACAATATTCATATATTTCAATGCATTCCTTCCTTTAACATCCCTCATACAAACCTGAAATCAGACTCATGAAAACAACTGTACTTCCCAAATACATGTATACAATTTCTCTTTGTTGCCACAGTACACTTCTTGTCTGATTATATAATGACCATACTGGAGGTTGAGACTAACTTTATGCAAAAAGTGATTTTAAGCCCCTTAAGTCTTTAAGGACTTTCCTTGTTTTAAAAGAAAATGCTTTTAATTATTTTAAAAAGTATTCCATAATTATGAACTTTCTATTTAAAAGGAACTTTATGCAAAAAAAATCTCTGAAGAATTTTCTTCTGCCATTGAAAACTAAATCAATTGCAGCAGTTTTCTCCTACTTGAAAGCTATACATTGCAGGCATAAGGCTGGCATGTAATGTCATAATTTACATCTCCTTTCTGCCACACATTTTAATTATTTTTAAAGACTATGAAACAGTATTTTTATCTTGTATAAGGAATTTAAATACCCTTATACCATATACAGCATTTAAAATTTAAAAGAGTTTAATGGAATTTGGACCTACTTTGTAATTTTTTGCTAGTGCTTTCTCCACCATGAACATGTCTTCTTGGCATGAAAGGTGATGGCTGAGGCAGAGGTAGTGAAGATTCATCATGTGTCTGTAGCTTATACCAATGTGGTTCATCATCTAAAAGTGCTGTCTCCAGCTCTATAAGAATCTAGCATAAAAATCACCAGGTTTTAATTTTACTTTTTGAAGGCACACACAGAAACACATATAAAATATATATATGCATATGTATTCAAAACCAAATGAACTCAAAAGAAATGTGATTGTATGTATCACCTCTCCAAGAAATTCACTCTCTTCTTCTTGTACTCTTGGCTGATCCCATACGGTTATTTCAAGCATTCGTTCTCTAAAATCTCTACGATGTACGTGTGAGTAGAGAAAAGTTTGGTTCCACTTTGGCTCTAGACTTTTCTTTACTGTTTTGGTCCTTCTTTTACTCTTATCACTGAAATGTAAATAGTGATTGTAAATTGTTTGTAGAGATAAATCACAAAATGACATCTACTCATCAGCACTCAACTGTGTTCATTCTTTCTGATCTGATAATGCCTAAATGAAAAAAGCATTTGCTGTACAGCGAATCACATTCATACAAAAGTCCACAAAGTTAATTTGATACTGACTTGCATGATTGAAGTGCAATTTTTTGTTATAAATTATCTAGCTGTAAGAAATTGTAAAAAGGAGTTCTTTACTTCATTAAAAGTTAATTCAATACATGGTAAATTACAAAAAAAAATTATAAACTGAAATACTACTACCTTCTGTCTGGAAGAAAATACATTTTTACATAGGGATTTCTGGGGCGTCCATCTACTCTTGGTGGCAAATCTGTTGCTTGCAGAACATTTACTATTAGCTGATGTCCCACTTTGTCATACCAGAGTTTAACCTAGAAGAATCGAGTTAACATTACTGAAAATAGAGAAAAAGCAGAATTTTCGGAATGCATCACAATAACCCCAATGTAAAAGTAACCATTGTTTTTTCTAAGAGACAATAAGATGTGTTTTATTTCAAATCCCTTAATACTTAACTTATATGGAAAAGATGATGGTATATACCTGACTCTTATATTTACCACATCTGAATAAAATGGTGGTGCCTGATTACACTTACACTGTTTACTGTAATCACTGCATAATCTTTTATCTGTGAGTGCATTTAAACCACCATATGTCTTAGGTCTGAAGCTTAAAACTACATTAAACAGGAAGCCCTGAATGCAGCTAAACTCGAGGCATAGTTGAAATCTATCTATTCAAATTCGTAACCCTTTCAAATGTTCTTCTGAAAAATGTAATATAAAGCTAAATAATTTCTTAAGAGAATCATAATATTATGAAATTTTTGAGTCTGTTGTAAACTTAGAAATTAATACAATCAATATAAAAATGTAAGAATGTACAAAACAAAGTCTAAGTACTTACAGTATATTTAATAAGAAGAACTTCAATTAGTATTACAGACAGTTCCAGAATGTACTTTGTATCCCAGTTAAAATGCACTACTTAAAATGCTTAAAAAATGCTTAACAAATACACAGCTCTTTAAATGCTCCCATAAAGAAGATAAAGAGATACTATCCATAATGAGGATAAAGTGATACTATGCTTGTTAACTGCAGATTACTGGGCAGGTACAGAAAAGTCACACTTTTCAATGCAGGGCCCCCAAGATGCCAAGTTACAAGGCACTTTTATGGGCTCCTCTCAAGGTAAATTCCTATGCTTTTCAGGTATTAAGACAATTTCTTACTTCCACTATGATTACAGTAATGGCTTGTGATTGCATAGATAGGGTGTTAAAAAACATTTGAAAGATGTCAGTCTTTACCAATAACAGACATTTCTCTTAACCTCCCAAGAGACCTTGTGAATGTGCAGGGCTGAGGACCAGCACTTCATAAATTTCAATTAACAACTCAAGAAACAAAATATGCTCACAGACAGCTGGCCTGGTAGGACTTGTGGTGCATCCCGTAGGGCTCCAGGGCTGGTTGGAGATATAACTGAAATAGAAGGCCTTTCCATCTTCTGAGATTCAAAAGAACTCGAACCTAAAGCCAAGTGAGAAACAAATGAAGTTACCATTCAAAACTTTCAAGGGAATTTGGACAACTTATGAATTGTTCTCTTTTGAATTGTATAAAGTTTGTACTTATACACACTATAACTGGATTAATACACAGAAAGGTTTTAAACTGATGTAGACAGGATGGTGAAAAGACTGCCTGCTTACCCTTCTCCCAGATTAAACCTGTCATTTTTTGCTTTATTTGAAGTAACATATGAAAAAGTGCTCCTCATATATCATTGACAAACCATAGCAAGTGTTTTAAATAAAATATTGTTCTCTGATAGAATTATACATCTTCCTCCCCACCTAAACTATTCTGATCATATTATCTCAAATCTTTGATGAATAAACCATATCTGTTCTGTGGTTTATACTTCTGGTAGCCTCTGAAATTTTAATAGGAAGCTATGCAGTACATTCATCTGGCACGCAGGGTGTTCCAGCCAGTGCTGAATATTATCATTCCTCCACCAGTGAAACAGAGCCCTCACTAATGATATGAGCTCGTGACAAGCGTAACAGCACTCGTTGACTGCACGAGACCCTGTCCCAGGGAGCGTTTCGGTTGCATCTCAGAAAAGGCTCAGATGAGGAGGAGTGGGAGCCATGGCCCTCACCTATTCTAGCTGACTACGTTCAAATGGCACCGCTGAAAAGAACGCCCTTCTTTTGAAGTATGACTCAAAAAGTTCACCTAACGAACACTTCACTAGGAACACTTTGTTAAGAAAAAGAGACACAAGAACACTGGGATTAAGCTGAATGGTGCAGGAGGTGAAATCCCCAAACCATTTGTACCTTTGGCAATCTCTTACACCTGTTTTCTCTCTTTCGTTAGGGCAAGTAAATGACTGTTTGGGGCCATAGAATATCTGCAAGCATGGTACTAACAACACAAGATATAGAAGAAAATAAGGAAATTATGCTAACATTTGAAATCTGTATAGCTTTATTAAAATCTGTATTGCTTCACATTTAACACACAAGACCAAAACCCACTGAATTTTGTCACACAAAAACCTCAGTGCTAATGTGATTTCTAGTGGTCATCTTTCACACAAATTCATAGAATTTCAAGAAATTCAAGAAAATTTATAGCTGAAACTACTGTGCTAGGTACATTATCATGCTTAGAAGAAGGAACAAGGAGTGTACTCACTAGACTCTAATGGGGGGTAAGAAGTCTCAGGAATCCGTGGAATATCACTACAATGTGAATACATAGTAATTAGAAACAACACAGATGAACTTCAGCTGTGACAAATGCATTTCTGGGACAGTTTTAGGATGTGTTTCTGTTCTAATGAGTTACAAGGAAAGAAAGAGGAAATATTTAAAAACATACTTTCCACTAGCATTCACAAAAACCTTACTAATGCAAACTACTTCATTTAGGTTAAGGAACTATCAGATGTACCAACATGATCACTGCAATGTTAATACTGTGGATGGATTACATCATACTTTTACAACTAGAATAAAGTAAGAGAGCTTTTAGGAAGAGAAAGGTGGCAAAGGAAATACAGCTATGAATGTTCAACTATTTTTTGAAGGAACAAAAATCAAACAATAAGACAAATATTAACTCACTAGTAATTTTTATATAAACGTCTCAAGGAGTTCAGAGAATGAAACTGATGAAAATTTCTTAAAATAATAAAAAAAGAAGAACAAATAACATTAGCAATGGTAGACAAACAGGATAATAATGCATTTTTCCAAAAGACTAAAAACAAAACAAAACAAACAAACCAAACAAAAAAATCAAACTATTTTACAATTGGGTATGGACATTTTTCAAGATACACATAGACAGCACATATACAGGTACAAGCAAAATCAAACTGGTTAAGGGCACAAATAATTTTGACATCAACAAATTTACTCTTCCATCCAAATCTAGATGATGCTAGCTCCTGGTTCTCTTCTATTCTTAGCCATCATTGAAAATGCATTGCAAGAGCAAGGAACAACTGCTATTGTACAAATCTTAGCAAACCAGATGAGCAGGAAAATGGAAACAAGTCTCTTCAGTGAATTACTTCAAAATATTTTCATTCAAACAAACTAATCCAAAATGGAACTACAATAACATTTCTGAAGAAGATTTACAAGATTTTTTAACTCTATAGCTGAGCATTTTAAAGGTATTCAGGTATTTGTCTGTTCAGTGAAACACTATCGTACTGACTTGGACGTCATTAAAATTAAGACTCCTAGGTATATAAAAGTCACTTATGAAAAAGAAACAGACACTTGTATCAGAAAAGGAATGTAGCAGTGCCCAATCAGTTAGTCTTAAATTCACTTTTCATGTCCTGCATTTTAAACTCATGGTGCCTGTGTTTTAAAGTAGACTACTTCAGCTCTGAGTTAATGTCTCACATTAGCTTACATCTCACATCTCTAAACAAGGATGTGTTTCTCCTTGTCTTGACTTTATAGAGACAAGGGTAATGTGGTTTCCTCAAACTCATGGAAATATAACTGAATTAGTCATTCTGGACATGGCACAGCACTGCTTTACAAACATATGAACAGATTAATGACCTGATGGACAGCAGTGCTCCTAAGCAGACTTCTTCCTCGTAACATTTTCTCTCCTTGCAGAGGAGTATTTCAAGGGCATTTTTCACCAGCCTGAAATATTTACTCACCATATTCAAACAGATTTTTCTGTTCAATAAAATGTTAAGTTTGCAATGTTTTCTTGTGCTAGAATATGAACACTCATCTGCAGTAAAGCACTGGCAAATGACAAAAATAATCATATCTTTCCTAATACTTTACTTATCAGAAATAATTGAAAATACAATTTTAAAAATGCATTTTTCTAAACTCCTTATTTCCTTGACAGAAAAAATGTAAGCTAGAACATAAATTTCAATTCCAGAAAAATTACATGGTTTTCAACAGAAATGTTATCTGAAATCTCTAAAACTTAACAGTACAATGGACAGGTTTTTAAAAATATATATACACATAATTTATATCTAAAAAGACATAGTATTTAGATATATATTTGTATAGAGAGATGTATATTATGTGTGTGCATGTGGGTGTATATATATACAAATTATTGCCAGAAAATCTCTTCTCTAATATATTTATTTTGTTTAAGTACAGCTTCACAGTGCAAGGCACAAAAATAAAATAAATAAATAGATAAGGAAAGAAAGTATGCAGTATAGCACTGATGCCCAAAGTTGTGTCAGAGCTTTCTAACAAGCTCTGTAACTGTTCTGGCTTTTTGCTGTCAATTTCAAAATGTACTGAAGTATACCTTTCCTTCTCTCTATATGTGAATTTCTTACAAGTTCAATAATCCAGTTTACATAATAATTTCTTAAATATTAGATGCACAAAAGAAAGGTAACTTGAGTATTAGACTACCAAATATGTGGTGTTTTTTTTTTAATGTTAGCATTTTAATTAAAGAATGAAAATTCTAAAAGGAAACTATAACCTAAAACTTTTTATGTAAGAAAATTAATCTTATCTAGCCTGCTTTTAATTTTGCATTGCAGAAAATATTCTGACACTATGATTTACAAAAAAGATCTTCAGAAGAAGAACTAGCTCATGATTTAAAATATTCAAAACTAGATTAGTCCAAGAAAATTACAAAAACAAAGTGAAAAGATGCACAACTGTAATTGCACTCCCCTTTTGGAGCAATATGAATGTGAGAAAAGTAGAGTAGAGAGCTGCCGACATCAAACTTTGTCTTTCTATCTCTACCTTGGAAGGCAAAGGTACTTTGTGGTCTTATATGATATTACATGTTATTATCTTATGTCTGACCCTTCCAAGCCTCAAGGAATACATAAATTACACCAACCTATACCTTAGGTTGAAACTACTCTATGCGGATATATGGTTTGTGAGGATCACTATTTCGTAAAACATAGGAACAGCTATAATTTTTCTGACTGACATAGCCAAGAGGTTGAAGGCAAACCCAATTAAAACATCGTTGTAACCCACACTTTTTCAGGTTGTTCTAGGAACAGACGTATCATCTGCTACACCCTAGAGAGTTTTAAAGAGTTTCTGAGTACCTTTCCTCAATGCTCACTCTGCCATTTCCAAAACCATTCCTTCCCATCAGAACCTGTAGATCAATCTGCAATTTGCACTAATTGCAACATTTGAGAAGCTCTCTGGAGTTCAGTACTGCCTGGTTTATGATAGAGGTTCAACCCCCTTGCAGGGACCTAAAGTACAGTAATGGTGCCCACAGAGATGAGTTGAATCACACCAGAAAAACAATCATTTCGGCAGTTTTGGAAATCCAAGCAAAGATAGCTAGCATCTGACAAAGAAAACAAAGACAAATGAAAAAAACATTTGTTTTACCTGCACTATCCCATAAAGATCACCCAAGCACACAAGAGACGGTGAGTTAGTTACCATGCCACGTTTCTTCTCCAGAAAGCATACTGCCAGAGGATTTTCTATGCTGTCCTACGTTAACCACCTCTCACATTGTATGCATATTCATAGGTAATTCGTCCCCTCATATGTAGATAGCCAACCCATTCATTCTACTTTTTATAGGTTTCTTATCTACCTTGTGTTGCAGTCATTAGCACTAGTGCCAATTAGCTTCTATGCAGTTTCCACGGTACTATTGTGATTATACTGTTTATTGTTGTTATGCCTTCATCTGCTAATAGTGTTACGTGCTTCACATTTTTCTCTAATAAACATCCTACAATTATCCATTACTCAAAATTACATTTGCTGGTAGACACAGAAATCCAAATTTACAGGACTGAGCAAATTGTTTGGACAGCAATTTTGTAACTGGCAGTCTAATTTGCGGGCAGTCTAATTTGTGGGCTTACAGTCCTTCCATTATTCACTTAAGACAAACTGTGTTATATTTGGGCTTTTTAGACCTAATATGCTAGGAATTTTTAAATCAAGACCATTAACTGTTCTGCTACATTATTTGCATTATTAATACTGAGAGACAAAAACACTTAAATTATGCAGACAAAATAACATTTTTGAGCCTTTCGGGAAGCTATTCCCTCACAGGAATTTAAGCTGTAATGGATTATCACTCCATGCTGTATAAATAGCAGCTTCAATTTTGCTGAATCAGCACCTAAAGTAGCCACCAAAACTCGATATACTTAATTTGCTGGATGGGATGAAATAAAATTCCCTGTCATGAAATTGAAACAATGACATAGTTTGGAAAACAAGACAAGGCGAATGTAGGGAGAAAATCAACATAATCTGTTAATGCAAGAAAACCATTTCCCATTATACAACACAATTTACTTAAATTATTAAAAAAACAAACAAAAACCCCCACAAACCCAAAACCAAACCAAAACCAACCAACCAAACAAAACAACCAAAACACCTGTGCATTATGCTCTTTCTTTTTGTTTACTAATATCAGGATTTCCTTTGTTGTATGTCTGAAATTTTTGGTTATTTTAAGATGACAGAATGGTAAATCCCAATCTGATACAAAACAACAGGGTTTTGACTCATTACTACTGGAAAAAAGAGCTATCTGTAAATTTCAAAGTTATATGTTCTAGTCACTTTGGGATATTCATCTGTTCTTCTCACCTAAAAAAACCAAGACAATCCAACCATCAAGCAAAAGGCAAAAAAACTGAGACACAGCTTTACATGAATAGTGTTATATTACGTAAAATACTCCATGCCAAAACTCCATTTATCTCAAAATAAAAGCACAATCTGATGTGCTCGATTTTTGCCTATATATGGAAAAAATATGCATGTGTCATCCAAAGCAAAACTTTACATTTTATTGGTACTATTTCTAGGTGCATTTTTTTAAGTATGAAATCCACTGCTCATATTCAGGAATGTTCTTTGATTTTGAACACACTTCAAAAAACTGTAGTATGTTCTTTCAGTTTCTCATCTGGAATATGACACTGGAATGAGGTCCCCTTGTACTTCATTTTTCAAAATTATTAGATTTATCAACATTTGTAAACTAAAATAATTCAATTGGCTTAATACTGAAATATTAAAAAAAGTTTTAATACTTAAAATTTAAGGACAAATAACATTTGCAATTATATTGATCAAATTATTTAAAATACTAATCTAGCACTTTGCTTTTACATCAGTTGTACAAATCATTTTCCAGGTTTTCTTCCATTGAGACATGGAATTAAGTCATGTCCAGTATCAACATATCTCTTTTTTGATCATTTGATCATAAACACTCAACTTCAAATATTCTCTTAAGGCATTTTATTTTAAATTACAAAGATGTAGGACTGAATTTGCAATTTTCAGTCTAAAATGAAAATAAGGTTTCTATTCCCCCACAGTCTCCATCTGGATGGTAATTTTAGCCTTTAACAGCCACTATTATTGCATCAAGCTTTTGTTTTCCATTACAAGGTCAAACCGATAAGTGGAATTACCAATGAACGTTAGTTTTATTTAAGCACTTTTAAAAGTGATTGCCATCAAAAAGGCAGAATTTATTTGCAAAATATAGCTACAATCACACAGTATAGACAAAATCAAAAATTAAAATGTAAAAGAAGAATGGTTTCGTCAGAAAGAAAACTAATAATTTTTTGTTTCTAAAGCAGAAAACATATCATTTGAGACACGCAAAAATTATAATTAGGATGAAATATAGCAATTTCAAAATTAACTAATCACATGTAAGAAGGAAACAGTTTACCATCTACCTATAGAGCAGTGTTATTTAGAGATATACAGTGGGTGCACATGAAATCTGAGAAGGTGACAAGCTATAGAAAGATTTAAATTGTTTTAATTTAATTTTTTTTTAACTAGTCAAGATTCACTTTTTATTGTTAATCGCATGACTCTGTTCTGCAATATAAATGTGAATTTAAAATATATGATTAATATTCAGTCCAGTAAGACAGCTCAAAACATTCCTGATATCAATAAAACAACTATGACAATTACAGGGCCAGCCCCACTAATCTTAGTAATTCAAACAGATTTTATTTTTTTTCTAAGCTCTATTTGGGAAATCAATAATATGAGAATTTTTATGAACCTTGATTCATAATAAATGAAAATAATGCTTATAAACATAAAATGTTAATGCTAATTTTTGATGAAACTTTTTGTTTCCACTTTTTGATGACAGTCATTTAAGGGTAAATACAGTCTTTTCTATCTAGTGCTATGTTTCCTTTTTGTATCTCTTTAAAGAAGGCCTGTTTAAAATCCTATAGCATTGACTTCTTAGGATCCTGAAATGCTTCCCTATAACTCATGAAGACTTCTATAAGTTATTCTGATATAGTGAAACTGAAAGCCTGAAAACCACACTGAAAAGCACAGGCGTACTTAATTCACCAGTTTTCCTTTGCCACCTGCCAAACATTGTCATAGTCCTTTGATCATACAGAGAACAACATTTATAATTATATATATATATATATTTGTCACTGCAAAGATTCAAGATTGTAAATGGTATTGAAGAAAATGGAATATACTGAATGTCAGTAACAGAAAGTGAATCATATTCCATTATTAAGCAATAAAAAATAATGAACTCACAAATAATCCCTTTAGAAGACCCATTAGCAGAAGCAATAACTGTGTTTAAGAAGCAAGTCTTTAGCCTTACCCAATAGGCCTTGAAACAATAATTTCAACTTGAGGTTCTGATTTTGATTCTAAAATAATGTTGTAAACTTCTTCATTTGTAGCTCCAGGCAACGGTTTACCATTCCATTCTAGAACTTCATCCCCTTGAATTTAAAGAGAAGTTTATCTCACTTTCATATTCTTTTACAAAGAATGAAATTTATATTAGCAAGTAACATTGCCTGAAATAATTTAAAAAGCTATGCTGAAACAAAACAAAAAAAATGGGTTTTGAGACACCATCAAAGCTTCTTTCTCTGAACACAGCTACACTTTGTATACACAAAACATATTAAAGAAACCACTTGTGCAAACATATTAAGTATTTCCAAAATAATACAGGACCTGTTATTGTGCTATGAAATGAAATTCTTTTTAAAAGAACCTTAATAAATAATAAATAAATAACCCTAAATGTATAAATACATATATAATATATTATGTATAATGTATAATATATAAATATTATTTATAAAAATTAATAATAAACCTTGAAAATAGGTTAATCTTCAAAAAAAAAACCCACAACCATAAATACCTACTATTAAACCTGTAAAAATCATGACATTTTATTACCATTTACATACTCTACATTTCCCTACAGAAAGGACAGCCTTCACGGTCTTTGTCATACAAATCAAAAATAAAAGCAATGAGTGAGGCCCTGTCTCCTGAGGATGTTGGAGTGGCGACACAAAGGAAAACATGAACTGAAAGTCATTTAGATAATCTTCTTTTTTCAGTTTAAAAATTTAAACAGTATGCACATTACATTATATTTTGGCCTTATTATGAAAAAGTGGAAATCTTGAAGCATTTTTTCTGAAGAAAGATCAGTATATACAATTAGGCTGCAGGAACCATAGGGTATGTTTTATCTCTTACACCCCATCATATGCAGCAGTCAAAAATTCACAACCACTCTCTCATGCCACATATATTTTATTATATTTATTGTGTTTATTGACAATGACTTTATGTTTATCAGATTCAGTCAGGAACAACCCTTCACATTCCGGCTTTGCTCCTTTCTGAGGAGACGCAGGCCAAATGATCAAGAAGCCAAGGAAAACTATCCTAACTGAAGTCCTCTCTAATAAAATATGTTGCTTCAATCTCTCTTTCTGTTCAGCAATTGTCAGTCCTTTTTCCAGATCATCCTTTATTTTGGTATTTTAAGAAAGTACTCCACAGGATATATCCACAGGAATATTCACATGATATTCCACTGGCTTTCAAAGCATTCTTTAAAACATGAGTGCTTGCTAATGTCAGACTTAATAAATGTTTCCTGACTTAAGTTTAATTTTCTACCATGCTGTTTAGCTGAGATGTTTTAAAATACTTCCAATATTTATTATATAATATTCTGCTGTGGGGGAACAAGAATTAGATATTGCCCAGGAATTTCCTTTAAAATGTATACAACCTGCTGAAAACAGACTCAGTTTCTTCTGCAATTCTGACTCCATTTTAAAGCTAACAACTGTTATAAACTAACATGGGTGTTTTTCCCCCTAAAATAAAATCTAATTTATTTAGAGATAACTGGCTTAATTTATAAAAGCATCCCAGTCATGAAAAGAACAAGACATGGCCAGCTTCACAATAGTTATAATTTTAAAAGCAAAAAAAAAGCCCCAACAGGGGCATATGTGAAATCTGTAATACTAAAAAAATGAGGATTTATACCTCATTTACACAGTAATGAATGTATCACATTTTGAAGAAGATAAACTACATGCAACATGATTAAGAATCTTAAAGAGAAACATGCAAGGTGTCTGTACAAATATTTTAGAGGACTTAAGCAGCTTTTTTACTTTTTAGAGCCCCTAGGAGATAAAAATAAATAAATAAAAAACCCCAAGATGATTAAACACTGGATCATAATAGTCATAATGCTAAATTAACAGAACTGACTCCAATTATTCTTTCTGAAAACTAGATCCAAATGGAGATTTGAGTGAAATGACATCTCTGCTAATTCTAACCAAATCGCCACCATGCATCTTTTACTCAGTTCTTATCTTTTTGACCAGCCAAGCCCTTTTACATTGTCTTTTTCAACTAGGATGATGTATATAAGATTTACATTCTGATTTCTGCTCTCAGTAACAGTAATGGCAACAGTAAAACACTGTTCAGATAGTCTAAACTCAGACATATGCTTGACACGGTCCTGTGCAAGCTGCTCTAGCTGACTCTGCTTAAGCAGGGAGGCTGCACTAGAGATCCCAAAAGGTCCCTATCCATCTCAACTGTTCTATGATCCTGTAATGCACTGCTACAGTTTCAGATGAGATGAACTCCCTGGTGTTACAATCCACTGTAGTAGCTCAGAGTTGGAAGTCAGTCAGTGAAGCAGCTGTTCGACACCTTACACTGCAGATGTTTAGGATAATCAAGATATCTGAACAAAGCTGGCTGGCAGACCTACAGGACACTTGCACCCTTATGGAGGCACTTCTGCAGGTGAGGCATATAAACCAGGATATCTAAGATGCCTCTAGGAAGGAATATTAATGGATCTTGCATTCTAACCCCATTTGCTGATTCATATTCAGCAGTGATAGTTTTCAGACTTATGCTGAAAATCTCTGGTCTTTTTTGAAATATTGATTTCTAAAATAGTAACTTGGGTTGGGAGATACTTCTGGGGGTCAGCTAGTTCAAACCCCTGCTCTAAGTAGGGCCAACATCAAAGGATAGACCATGCTGCTCAGGAATTTGACCAGATGAGATTTGAGTCTCTCAAAGGATATGCCTCCCATGGGTAACCTCTTCCAAGTCTTAACTGACCTCTCTGGTTACAGGAAAAAGGGTTTCCACAAAAAGGACCTCACTCATTCTAGCTCGTGCATGTTGGTTCCTGTGTGATCACCTCTAAGAACAGTTCCAGCTCTGGGGTCTCTACTGCCTCCTGCTAGCCAGGCAAAAACATTCTTCTCAGCTTCTTATACCTCATATGCTTAACTTTCTGTCCTTCTGTCCAACCTAGTCCAGTTTGACAGTACCTCTTTTGTACTAGACAAGCCCAAACCAGACACAGGACACCATATACGGTCTTATAAGCACTGAATAAGAGCAACAACCACCTCTCTCAATCTGCTGGCTACAACCGTGTTAATACAGTCCTCTGCTTGACTGGCACTTGCTGCAAGGGCACTTTGCTGACTCATGTTCAACTGACTGTCCTCTAGCACCTCCAGACACTTCTCTGCCAAGCTGCTCTCTAGCTGATTGGTTCCTAGTGATTACTGTTGCGCTGGGATGTTCTGTTCCTCATGCAAGACTTCATATTTGCTGTTACTAAAATTTAAGAGGTTTGTACATGTACTCAAAGATTTATCAACATAGACAAATTTTGGAGGTTTTCTGTAAGGACAAAAGTGTGTTTTCCTAACAGCAAGGACTTGTCCACACCTTTTTTGTGTGTTTTATTCCCATACAATAGGATGAACAGACTTTCATTCATTGAAAATACGTGCAAAACAATGTATTTTCTCTGTGAAATAATTCTGGCTATAAAACTACTTTTAGAAATTAAAAATAGCCTTGATTTAAAAAAAAATCTTTAGACCAGACTTTAAAAATGTATTGTATCAGTCCAAATAGTTCAAGATTAGTGGAGAGAAACTTATTTTCTTTAATTATAAGTTGCATTTAAAAATCTATAAGCAACTATAATATTTGGTGCTATCAATCCCAAGTATATTGACTCAGTAAAAAATAAAAATTAACAAATGCCAAAAACAAAGTAGGGTATTTTTAGAGATTCATTCACCTTTCTACTTCTTTATTATTATCTGCTCCATGCAATTATCCTAAATTTATACAAGTTGACATGGAACTTCTGGGTTCTTGGAATGCTGCATAGACTTTGGTTTCCTAGGACAATATTTGGAAAGCACTTGCTTAGAGCCATGACAAAAATACAAACCACCAAGAAGTAACTTTGAAAACCAACTGCTGTGCACAATTCTCACTTCATTTAGAAGCTTGAAAAGTGCCAACAGCACAGACATTTATTTGTAAGTGCAATATATATATCTTATAGAAATGAAATATTTCAGAACCATTTTCTTTTCTTGTGTTCCATTTTTATTTGTAACAGTTCACACTGAAAGAAGCACTAATAAAATCCACTGGGTATGCAATGTGTCATCCTTCAGGTGACACCACAGTATAGATGAAGTAACTGTAGTGAGTTTTGTTTGTCACAATCAGTTTAAAAAAACGTTTGCATGGCTTCTGTAGAGTGTAACAAGCAGGTCCTGAGCTAGCAAACGAAAAATTACCAGTGACACTCAGTCCTGACATCAGTATTACTGAGGAGTTTCTTTCATTTTGCTAATACATGCAAGCAATTGGAGCTAATAGTAAATAAGAAATGTAGGTAACCACGGTATATCATAATACAAAACAGTGGCATTCCATAATAGCATTACAGTATTGTATTTTTAAAATTTTAGCTTATCACATGAAAAATTTTAATATAAATTAAAATTTGCATTTAATAGGCCATTATTAAAAGACATATTTTGTATGCAACTGATTGATTTACCTGCTCTGAGATGCCCCACCACATCAGCCAAGCTACCTTTCTTCACTTTGGTAATGAAGGCACCGAGTCGACCTAATTCTGTCATTTTTCCTCCAACAACCTGGTTAATCATAAATTTGTGAGTATCCACGCCACAAAACAGACATCATATCAAGTATAAACATATAGACAGATCAGTTTTCACATTTTTAAACAAATTAAACCTGAAATATGCATAAGCAAATCTATTGTCAATTTGGATTTTACAAAGGCCTAAAGACAAAAAGAAGTAAAGTTAAACAGGATGAATAAAATTGATATTCCTTTAAATGTGTTTGACTAATCAATTTTATGAAGTTTGCTAAGTATCTGCATCTGTTGCAGAAAGAACACAATTAATAACCATGCAAATGTACTTTTTACAAATAATTGTCTGTAACGTGCTCAAATTTAAATTGCAAGTGTGCATCAAATCAAGTGTATGAAATTCTAAATTGCAATTGGTACAACAATTGGAAACTTAGTAAATATACTGCTATGAAACATGGGCAACCAGTTCAAAAGAGTGTGAACTCAGGCCCTCTCATCCAAGCATATGACAGGAAAAACCATCCACTTCTGGCTTTTGTTAAACAGAACTGAGCATATCTGTTTTTGAAGATAACTACGTGATACAGGAACATCAGAAGAAAAAAAAAAGTGCTCTCAAGGGGTCAGATTTTAAATAAAATATAAACAAAGAAAATGCAGTCTTGCTGACCTGCTATTCTCTTTAGCTATCCTACTCTCCCCACTCAGGTGGGGTGTTTTTGGGGGGATTTGTTTTTAGCTTTTTGTTTGTTTGTTTGTTTGTGTGTTTGTTTTCCACAAGAATATCCTGGGAGGGATTTCATAATAAAAACGGTGGAATGTTGATTCAGTAAGTACTAGTTTCGCATGTTGCAATCGCAATAACTAGTAGCAGCATTAATATCAAAAAAGATCCAGAAGCCTACCTGCCAACAATGTTATCACATGATCATATTTATCACATGATAACATAATTTATCCGTGAGGGCCTTAGTTCATATTACAAAAAACTGAAACTGGAAAAATTGAAGACAAAACACTTTCTACATTTCCTACTAGGACCAACCTTTTTTTCTCACATATTCAGATAGAATTGCTTGCCACCAGCAAAAATCAGCCTTGTGCTTTAAACCACTAAACATAAAGTAGAGTGAAGCTGTTCTCATCTTTTGTGCCATACCATGCCACACTATCTCATGTCACGGTGGGGATATTTCAGATTTTGCATTGCTTCTGTTGTTCTCAGTGAAGAGAGAAAGACACCCAAATTAAATTCTCTCAGTCATTTTCAGAGCTCCATAGATTTAAAAATATACATGGAGAGAGAAATGCTTGAATTGTACTCCCCACCAGCTTCAAAAGTAGCACTGTCTATCTTTCAAGAGTTCTTGAAATACAGAGACATGAATCTAAAAGTCTGATACAAATGACCAGGTTAGGGACTTAAATCAATTGAATAGTCCTGCCCATATCTCAATTTTAGGGCACTGGATTAAGGAATTACATTTAATTTAACCTCTACTATGATTTAAGAGGGTTTTTTGCAAATTTTTGTGTAAATTTTTAGCTTCTTTCTACAAAATTTTTATTTTCCAATGGCTGTGTGGATTTTAAAAAATGACCTTGTAAACATTTGCATTCATATGATATTTATGTATGTGAATTATAAAATGTATTACTTGACTGAATTGCAAACAGTAGAGTTAGAAAAGAGAGGAGTCCATTAGTGTATTGCAATGGGCAGTATATGTCTTGCAGACAGGAAGCTGAGTAAACATACCCATTCTAATCAAAACAGTTCAGCTCCTTTGTCATGGACGCCTGGAAGACTGCATAGAAGGAGCAAATGTATTTACATTTATAATTTATCTATATAGCTTTCAAAACTTACTCAAAAAGAGGAATACAATTTTTTTGTCAAAAGATCATATGGTTGGAGCATCCTCTGACTTAGTGTGTTAGACCTCTGTGTCTAAGGTCAATGGACCTTTCTCTCATTTAGCAGACAAATCATGTAATACTCACTTTTAGCCCCAGTAATGCACCTGATTCTTTTGGCATAGTTGTTCTCTTGTTAAGAATAACACGCCCAATTAAGCGATCTCCCTCTTTGGAAGGCTGCCACGTTACGGGATGCTGTTAAAAAAAATCCAAGCAGTGGAATTAAAGAAGTGTGAACAACTTCCAGTATTTAGATGCATATGTATAAACCAATAAAATTTCTGTACCATTATGTCACAGTAGACATAAATATCCTTCAGATATTTACATTTACAGATATTTACATTCAGATGTGTTGCATATTGTACCTGAGCTTTCTATTATTATATCTGTTGGACTCTGGCAACATTAAACATTCATGCCCTCGTTAAGAAAATCTCAACACTAAGTCTGCAGGTAGAATTATAATACATTTTAAAGTTCAATATGATTAAACATTTAAAACACACCCTAGGTAATAAAATTAAATATTTACTTTTAAATTACATGACCCCGAAAAGCGCATTCAGAAATTCTGTTCTTTAGAAAAATACACGTTATGCAGTTGTACCATATGGATGTTCACTCTATAATAAAATCAAAATGATCCTTTCCAACTCCGAGTCAATAGAAAAAATCACTAATGTGTCTCAGAGCAGCATCATACTCACAACTGCTTTTTTTGTGGTTTGCAGTGAACTTTAGTGTCATGACAATGAAAGAATTAAATTCAAGTTAAAATTCAGGCAATTCTACAAATACACATTTTGATGAAAATTTCTTTCTGATTTCCATTTCCATGGTCCTCTAAACCAAGTTTTCATGTAATTTGTATAGAATACTTTTTTACAGCCAAATAACTATGATGAACTGAAATAATTAGCAAAAATTTTAATCTGTACTTATGAACCTCCTTTCTTCTGTTTCTTACCGAACTAATAGGGGATGTCTCCCTGCTGTGCCACGTGGCAGGATCCAGCCAGTAATAATCCAAGTCACCTGGAAGAATATGAGTAGAAAGAAATGTGTAATCTCTCAAGCAGAGAAAGTCATATGAATGGTTATTTCTGCACGCATGAATTTTCAAGTGCAGTAGTTTGACGAAGCAAATACAAAACCTTTACTATGATTCAAATTAACATCTCAATTTGAAAACAATGTGGCCTATTAATATAAAACCCAAACCACATAATAATGCATTTATTTGGACCTCTGCTTTTTCAGGAATTGCACCTTTACAATTCATTGTGTGCACTGTCTGCTTTTTGCTTTGCCCAGTCATCCTCCAAGAACGGACCCCAAAAAACTGCATTCACAGCCCTCCTCCTCCCCACCATCGCCACAGCCAATGCTCAAGACTACAGCTAAGGACAACTTTAAAGAGAATACTCAACAAAATAGGCTACAGTTAAGGACAGAACAGTCAACCACACTCTAGTATCTGCCAAGATCAATACTGTGATGACAGGTACAGACAGAGAGTGCACAGGAGCTGGTAACGGATAACAGAGCAGCAGGAAAAACAGCCACACAAATAGAGCAAATGGTATCGACAGCAGGTACGAGGCTGTAATCTTCTATTTCACTTGGGGCAAACATTTATACTACGTACATCAAGAATAAGCCCATGAATTACAGTGGTCTGGAAGCCATCAGCCTACCGGGCAACGAGGGCACTGTGGGTAGGATTTGGGAGAAAAGGCAGCAGAGCATAACACCACAGTAAGTATATATGAATTTATGGAAAGCTAAGGAAACCACCACAGTTTGATTAAATATACTGCAGCTGTAGAGGGCTGACCTGCTAGCAGAAAACTACCAACTTTGCTGGCAGTTTTCTGTGATAGAGGACAGATGTAACTGCACTCCAAGGAGAAAAAGGACAAGGTAGGAATTGCAAGACAAAGAATAATGGGCAGTGCAACTCGGAGCATAATTTTCTTTACAAAGAGGAACCATACAGGTGATATTTGGAAGGACATAAGAGAATGGTGTAGACATGAGACAGATACAGTAGGAATAAGGCTGAAATACTTCTGTGTTAGCACTAGTTTAACAGAATATATCTGTAAGCTCTGAACCTTGGGGTTTTATTCATCCTATTAGGCATTTTCATGGTGTATTAATAAAAATGCAAAGTGTCATTAGAAATGAGAAAAACTTTTCCTGGTGTTCTTTTGCAGTGACAGAAGTATATAAAAAAATCTAAAATAAACAAGAGATATTTTTAAATTTTATCCGGAAAAAAAAAAAGTAGATTATTCTGCCATTTAGCTTACACTGCCTTTAAACACGGAGACAAAATCCCCACCAAACCAAAACTATCACTTCTGAGCTTAGTTTTAGATCTTGAAGGAAGTAGTCACCTCTCAATGAGGTTTATATCCACAGCTGCGCTTCAGGCATTTTTCACTCTCATTTGAGTACCTAAAATACATTAGTGGAACAGTTTGATAACACTGCTTTCTGAGTGCATATGTGATTTTTTTCAAGTCTTTAAATGATTAGGGCCCAGAGTAGGGTTTTTTAATGGAACAACTCTTCACATACTTTCCTAACAACATTCCTACAAACTTCACAAATCATTTAAAAGTTACCAGGTGAAAATCCTAATTTATCATTAAAATCATACATTTCTTGTCAATCCTCTCTACACATAGATATGCTCTATGTCTTTAGAAAACATATTTCTTTTACGTACAATTCAGGCAATACACCTTCACTATCTTACTTTATAAAACACATCTCTATAATACTACTGTTAGATGCCTGTGTGCTAGTAAGAGTAGTGATCTAATATCCTCTCATACACCTGTCTTGGCTGATTTTCCTATTCTCACCATCTACCTACCCTTTGCTACCTTTCTTCCTGCTCATTATTTGCTATCATCCATCTTCTGTCTCCTTCTGCTTCTGGCTTTGGTGTCCTTTTTTAGGTTCAGTATTTTAACTCCTCCTTAACCTCAAAGTCTTTGATACTAAGCTACATTCCTATGAGTTCCTCGGCACAGCTAAGCCTTAAGGAGTCTGTCCCTTTCACCTTCCTGTCTGTCCCATGCTTTGTAAAATTCCAAGCCATCAGCTACATCCACAGCAGCTGGCCACGACACCGATTCTTTCACCCTCTGCTCTCAGAAGCTGAGAGCAGGAAATGCACTGAAAATGCAGCTCTACTGAGCTGGAACATGGATGATACACTGAGAAGCTCTGAAGGCAGCTATCGAATCAAACATCTTGACTGAAAGTCACTGAAAGTTGTAAGTCTACAATTTGGTGACTATTTTAAAAGCTGCAAAAATGCATGAATTGGAAAGAGGAAAGTACGCATTCTGAAAAATGACTTAATTTTAAAATTCCTGCTAAAATTCATCATGACATAGACTACTGGCACACAAACTTCTGGGTGAATTTACAACTGTAAAAAGGGTTTTATAATGGAAAATGTCAGTTAATCTATTCATAAGCATGCATAAGAAAGAACATAAAAATTAAGACATAAATTAACAAACTCTAAATGAGCTTAAAAAATACTTAATGCCAGCAACACTGACATTAGAGACATCTGCAGTTCAGTACTCTGTTATATCTTTAAAAATAATTTCTCCTTGATCATCCTATGTAACGGTTGCTTCTTTACTTGATACCTATCTATGCCCTTCTTGCACTGCCATACTCCAGAACTTTAATTACACAAAATAACTTTACTGCACTAGTATTATAGAGATCTGGGAATACATAAATTAATTACAAAAACTTGTGATCTAAGAGTATAGCTTCAAAATTTCAGATTTTCTCTAAAAGCCATCCACTGAAACTGAAAACACAAAAAATCCCTATGCACAGAGAACTCTGGAAAACACTCTGGTAGAACACTCCTAAAAGTCATTAAAAATAACCACTAAAATAAGAAAAAATTAAGACATTATACAGAGGTAAAAACTACATTTATAAGAAGTAAATAATTAGTTTATTGGATTAAGCTGCTTTTAAACCCTTTAAAAATAATTCTTTAAATTTTAAAACAAGAATAACTTAAAAAGAAGCCCCTATGAAAATATACATATACTGTATCATTATTATTTTTTTACATTCCTGATATATATCTAAAACATATAAAAATACATTTCAACGTAAAGCATATTATTAAAAACACATTTGAAGTTTTAATGTGTGATTTATTTAAGACCAAAAGAGTGAAACAGAGTATATATTTGTGAAAACATTTTTTCCTGAGGGAATAATTCAAAATTGTAACCTTAAAGCAATTAAATATTTTTCCTATTAATATGCTGCTGTTTGATTACTTCACTCTTGGATACAGAGGGATATAATAATATGTTACAAGACACAAATGTGTCAAGTTTTTTTTTCCATGAGAAGTCTTTCACAGTCTTCACTTGAATTTCAAGACAGGGAGTAAAACCCTTAATAAATTACCAATGGTTTTATACCTGCAACATGTATGTTTTCAAAATTAAGGGAAAGCAAAACTCACACCACCAAAAAAAACCTTTTTTCTAAAATGCTTCATCTTTGGCAGCACTATCCATACCAAAAGCTAATGCTGGGATACTGTGATTTCAAGTGAGATCCTGAAAAGCTGAGAAGTGCTGGAAACAACAGCCTTGTCTCTCTTATGAAGCCAAAACAAGCACAAAACAGGAGAGAGTCTCTTATCATGTATGGCCAGTCATCTGACTTCCAAAGAGTCTTGAATACTGGAGATAAAATACCCCTCAAGTTTCCCCAAATCCATCCAGACTACTGATATTCAGCAAAGAATGCACTTCAGTGTTTTACTCAAATCCAGACACACCACATTCTCAGCAGATACTTAAGACAAGAAGCAGAATTTAATTATAAGAGACAGTCAGCCCATGTTAGGCATTTAATTGACCCTAAAAGGTCAATTAAATTAATGCAGCAGTTCTATCACGTAACTAGAAACTTAGACAAATAATTTTCAGAGGCTGCATCTAAAATTACTCAACAAACTGAATAGTCAGACTTGGTCTCTCTGATTAACATACAGAATCATAGAATGGCTTGGGTTGGAAGGGAACTTAAAGATCATTTAGTTCCAAATCATTTAGTTCCCCTCCTTGCCATGGCTAGGGACACCTTCCATTAGATCAATCTGCTCAGAGCCCCATCCAACCTGGCCTTAGACATTGTCAGGAATGGGGCATCCAGAATCTCTCTGGGCAACCTGTTCCAGTGCCTCACCACCCTCACAGTAAAGAAGTAATTCCTAATATATAATCTAAATCTACCCTCTTTCAGCTTGAAGCCATTCTCCTTTGTCCCAACATTACATTTTAAGTAAAAAGTCCCCTGTAAAAGGTCCCTTTGCAGCTTTTTTGTAGTCCTCCTTTACGTGTTGGAGGTCTCCTAGAAGGTCTCCCCAGAGTCTCCTCTTCTTCATGCTAAACAACCCCAATTCTCTCAGCCTGTCTTCATAGCAGAGGTGCTCCCATCCTCTGATCATCTTCATGGTCCTCCTCTGGAGTCACTCCAACAGGTCTGTGTCCTTCTTATGTTGGGAGCCCAGACCTGGATGCAGCACTCCAAGTGAGGTCTCACCACAGTGTAGTAGAGGGAGAGATTCACCTCCCTCGACCTGCTGGTCACACCTCTTTTGATGCAGCCCAGGACATGTTTGGCTTTCTGAGCGGCAAGAGCACATTGTCAGGTCATGTTGAGCTTTTCATCCACCAACACCCTCAAGTCCTTCTCTTCAGGGCTGCTCTCAATTCATTCTCTGCCCAGCTTGTAGTTGTGCTTGGGTTTGCCCTGACCCATCTGTAGTACCTTGCATTTGGCCTTGTGAACTTCATGACGTTCACACAGGCCCACCTCTCAAGCCTGTCAAGGTCCCTCTGTATGGCATCTCTTCCCTCCAGCATGTAAACCACACTGAAAAACTTGTGTTAAACAGCACCAGTCCCAACATCGATCCCTGAGGAATACCACTCATCACTGGTCTCCACTTGTACATG